CAAACAACCCCGCGACCGACACGGTGTAGGGAAGTTTCCATGCAGCAATGGATCCTACTCGAGTCATGCGAATGATGGCAGCGTGGTTCGGGAGCTCGATGTCAATGTCGAGGTCCTGCCGCTGTTGGCCACGACGAGAGGGCTTCAGCAGACAGAGAGAGTTCGTGTCGCTGTTCCTCCTCCTCCTGCTGCTGCTGCGTTGAAAGAGCGCAGACCACAGTGAGTGGGTTTACTGTGCGGTCCGTGGCTTGCGTGGCGTGGCCATACTCGCACTACTGCGGCCTGTCTTTAATGTATCTCTATGGGTCTCTGTGTATCTCTATGGGTTTCCGTGTGTCTCTCTTAGTCTCTGTATCTGTATGTGTCTACGGGTCTACTCTATATGGCCCCATAGTTTGGGTTGCACGGCCACAGTCGCACTACTGCGGCTTGTCTTTAATGTATCTCTATGGGTCTCTGTGTATCTCTATGGGTCTTCGTGTATCTCTATGGGTCTCCGTGTATCTCTCTTGGTCTCTGTATCTGTATGTGTCTACGGGTCTACTCTATATGGCCCCATAGTTTGGGTTGAACGGCCACAGTCGCACTACTGCGGCTTGTCTTTAATGTATCTCTATGGGTCTCCGTGTATCTCTATGGGTCTTCGTGTATCTCTATGGGTCTCTGTGTGTCTCTCTTGGTCTCTGTATCTGTGTCTACGGGTCTACTCTATATGGCCCCATAGTTTGGGTTGCACGGCCACAGTCGCACTACTGCGGCGTGTGCCTTGAATTCCCCATCCATGAAGGAGATGTGCGCATCGGCCTGGCGACGAGGTCCTGATGGTGCGCTCGGTTGGCGGTGGGACCACCAGCAGTGGATCGACAAAGCGCTGCTGCCGCCACGCTGTGGGCAGCAGAGGGTTAGTGCAGCGAAACCAATTGTTGTGCTGCACTCCCTATGCTCCGACGTCGACGGCCCGCGCCTGCCCAGTCAAACAAGCCGGATGGTTGACACGGCCCTCCACCAGCAGTTGTGACCAAGGGCTGTACAATGCACAACACGCTGCGTCACTGGGCATCGTAAGCGATGCCTCCTCGCGTACCAGACGTCAGTTGCGTTTGTGATCAGTCCACTTTGTCCGCGCGCTGCCTCCTGTGGTGCCAGGCAAATGGCACATGTGTGCGATGCACTCAGTGCTAATTATAGGTTCAGATACAGTGGTTTATGCCTGCCATTTCATTTTCGTAGCAGCAGGATACTCCATTAGGCACGTCGGCATATCTATGTGTGTGTGAGAGTGTATGCCGGGGAGCGGTAGCGCAGCGGTCACCCGAGTTCGATTCCCGCTCACGGCCAACACGAGTGGCCGTGAGCGGTTATCTGAAGCGGTCCTGGGCCTCCCCGAGGTCGATGTGTAAATATCGCCGAAAGGGAGACAAAGGCGGCCGGGCGTGGTGCTGACCACCTACCCCCTTGCGTGCGATGCCGGTCTTAATAGGTGCTCGCTAACAGCACTTCAACAGTTTGTATAGGCTATCCGGGGGATCTTTGCGTGCGTGCGTGGGTGTGTTTTATCCTAAGCCCATAATGTATGATTACTTCCAATTAAATCAAAGCCTTACAGTAAATAAATGTAAAACACACGCCCGCGTAAGAAAAACCATGCATATGCATACATTCTGTGATGCTTTTACGCAAGGAATCATGCGACTTGATTCGTTCTCTTGCTACGGTTCGTATCTCCAACAACACCAACAACACAGTCTCTCGCGTTCACACATTCTCTGTGTTCACAGGACTCTGGAGGGAGCTCCCTCTCGGGGGGTATTTGGCCTACTCTTCCACGGGTGTCGATATGATGTGACGTCACACGGTAGACTTAAACAAGCAATGTTCTCCAAAGTAAACAAAAACAAACTTACAAGCGGATTTTCTTAAGAAACGTTCAGGGGACTTACATAATTGGCAGTGATGCGCATGTGCGCGCATGAACATTAACGACCCACACCAGTCGATCAAAATCCCTGGTGAAATGCAGTAACGTCGGAGTAGACGGTCCATCCTACAGACACTTGACAAAGATCCCCCGTGTAGCCTTGACAGACTGCCGGGGCAAGTGCTGTTAGCGAGCTGCTCCTATGAAAGCCGGCACGGCACACGAGGGGGTGGGTGGCCAGCACCACGCCCGACCGCCTTTGTCTCCCGATGTTTACACATCGCAGCAGGTACTCATTTGAGGTTGAGTAGACCTAGGGGAGGCCCATGACCGGTGTAGATAATCGCCACTGGTGTTGGCCGTGAGCGGGAAACGAACATGGGTCGCCAGGTTCGTAGCGCAGCGTGAAAACCGCTACATTGCCGCTCCCCACAACACAATCGCTCACACACAAAACCAGCATCTATAAACTATTTTTATTCTAGCAGGTAAAGCCCACTGAGCTATTCAGTTTTTTTTCAGAAGCGATCACAAATGATAGCCCAGCCAAGTGGCTTATCGCGCGGACATTTATTGCAGCCAAATACTCTAAACTGGTGACGTTCATTCTAAATGTGGAGGGGGGAAAACCGAAGGGGACCCGGAGAAAAATCCACGCGACCACGGGGAGAGAGCGAGAGAGACACGCAAACTCCAAATATACCGCAGCAGCAGCGGGCGTCAGGGTCGGGATCGAACCCACGACCTCCTGCACACCAGGCGAGGTGGTTAACATCTCCCACGGTGACGAGATTTGACCCACACGTCAGACTTTACCGCTCACCTGACACTCACCGGACCGCCTTCTACTCACCTGACACCCACCACTCATCATCATCGCCGTCGACGATTTGTAACCGCGGGGAGCCCGTTGAGACGCATCGGACTCACCCCCAACCAACTCCAGCCCCAACGGCACGCGCCCATCCCGCCTACGATTTGTAAACGGGGCTCGTATCACGCGCAGGAACTATTGTATATAGTAGAGCGGATAGGCCGAGTGATGACGATGACAGTGAAAATAATTATTTGAAATGTCATCGTTGTCATCACCGGCTACGGCCAATCCACTGCTGGGTGAACCGAGCCAAGCCCCTGCACGCACGACGCCGATCTCGACCATCGCTCCATCTCCGTGACGCACGTCCTCCGGGGTTCCTCCACCCCCCCCCCCTTTGGCTGCCACTCCACCGTGACCAAGAGGAATCCGATGAGCGATAAAGCTCTTTTTGTTACCCCTTCTATCCGTGTCGAGTCCTGCCCGAGTCCAGTTTGCGTCTCCCAACAGCTTCTAGCGCCCGTCCCGGCCAGCCCAGTGTGACAACAAATGTTGACATATACCGGATTATAAGGCGCACCATTCCTCTGCAATATAACGCGCATACGTCCAGCTGCGTCTTATAAGCCGGTGCGTGTGCGTGAGACCAGATACGTGGCGTGCTGTTGCTGCTGCTGCTGTTATAGATTTGGAACAACTTTGTTGACACGGGGGCAGACGTTCTGTGGGTGCGTCTCACTTCCCCGGAACGTCGGACTACCCTCACAGTGGAGGGTCGTCGCCACGAAACGCGAGTCCGACGGTCCGCCGCGTGGCTTCGCGAGCCGAACGAAGTTCACTCTCCCCGTGTCACGCCCCGACCCCACGGCCCGTGATTGACGGGCACAACTCCAGAGGCTCGTGACCGCAAAGTCCTAAGTTCAATGCCCCGTTCACGGTCGGTTGAAACTTAACCCCACAACCATCATCATCATCGGTACAGTACCACGGATTAATTTCAGCCGGGTCCATCCGGGTCAGCCACCCTGAAAATCGATTCGCGCCCGGCATGCCACGTCCAGTATACAAATCGCTATGGCTGTGGCTCAGAGCATCGCTTCATTTCAGGCGGGTCGAATATTTCTGTGCCCTGCACAGGACATGCAGTGGCTGTTGCGGGTGGCGTAACCAGCGCCACACTCGAGCGCCTTTGTATCCCCGCCATTGATACTGACAACACCCGCGCCAGTTCTAAGGCTGAGTTTGACCAAGGGAGAGGCCCAGGACCGATTCGGGTGTCACTCGCCACTGGCGTTAGCCGTGAGCGCGGAATCGAACTCAGGTAGCCGGCCAGAAGTTTATTTTGGTTGTGCTTACTGATGCCACTCGTTTGATCATTTCGTCATCATTGTCAGCCATGATCAATCCACTGCTGGATGGAGACCTCCCCCTCACCGTCCTTACACGTACACACGAGCTGATGTTATCACAATTGTTTACGCGTATGATTTAAACACGCGCTTTCTAAATGTATTGTTCGCAGTTTTATTTTTACTCGTATCTGTTCGCTAAATCGTGGCTCAACCAGCAACACTCCTTCAGATGTCAAACGTCGAATGACCCATCCCTCTGGACACAGTCAAACACAACCACGCACAACTGCAAATCAATCAGCGCGAATTTCAGATACTGTATTTGTCTGGATTATAAGACTCTTGAAAGTAAGACCTATCTAAAACTCGTGACCGCTGTCAATTAAGTTGTACCAATGTGGCTCCACATACACACACAGCTATCGGAATATAAGACGTAAGCACAACCTTTGGTTCAAAGCTACTGTTTAGGGAAACAGTGCCTCTTTTAGTTTGGAAATACGTAAGTTTTTTGCTAAAATAAAAACACCAGTTGCCGAATTACTCTGAACAGATGATGTTGGATATTAGACTACAGATGCTGTCATCCTGAATATTCGTATTTCCATCCATACATTGTGTTGATTAATTACCCAGCAAAGCCTTTACGGAGTCTCAAGGCTCATGATGCAGGAGGGGTGCTACTACGACATTGTGATGTTTGTCCAATGCCATTAATGGGAGGAAACCGGGGAAAAAATCGAGCTCCACGTATTACGTGGACACACAGACGTGTTCATGAACCCTCTTGCTGAGCTTGCAACCCCCCATGGTCACGTATCAGAGCGCCACGAAGCAGGTCCAAAACTTCCACAAAAGTCCGGGCGCGTGCGTGCGTCACCGCCGTCTCGGCCAACTAACTCAGCTAACTCACCTTCAGCTTGCTGTCAACGAGGTGACGGGGCGAGCCGAGACGAGATAGGTGGGAGGGGTGGGGTGAGGATGAGACGGGACGAGGTTGCGGCGCGCAGAGATCGAGATGGGGACGCGTGACCGCGGCGCGCGAGACGAGGCGGAGTTTCTGAAGTTTCCGGCGCGGCCGTCGCCGTCGTCGTCTTTGCCGGTCGGCTCACTCGAGGGAGTCTCTTTCCCCCCCTCTCTCTCTCTCAACGCCCGAGTCAAAGATGTTCCTTGGTCGTCTGCCGAGTCGTGAGAGGGGCGGCGTGCGCGCGCAGACCTCTGCGAATAACGCCAAGCCCCCCTGGCACCACGACTCTCGTCTCAGCCTGGGCCAATTGCCGACCATCGCCAAAGCCCCGCGCAGGAGTCGGAGGGGGGGGAATGTTCGCTGCGGCCAATCGGCGAGATCTCATCGGAGTTGAACATGGGGTTCAAGTGAAGCCCATTGGGTTACATCCGTGTGGGATGGAGCGGAGGGGTGGCGAGAGACACGGGGTAGGAGGATACGGAAGGCTTCCGTGTCTCACACTCGCACACTCACTTACTGACACTTGTGTCAAACAGCGTCTCTCTCCCTCTCTCTCCAGCTACTAACCACGGCCGCCCGTCCCATCCGCCCTTACGCACGTGGCCACGCGTGCACCGAGTGGCCGTGGAGTGAAGGCGGCACTCTTGACCCTTCACAAGGATACGGCGTCGATTAATCAATGAGCGTGCAGGCGTGCGCCACTCACTGCGCGCCCAGTGGTAGCGTATGATGGCATTGTCTTTGAAAATGATTGGTCCACACCAGACAGCTTTCTTTAGAGCCTCGTCTCAAACAGTGTTAGACCAGAGGACAACGCCAAAGTTTACGATTTGTTAATACGAAACCTTGTCACACACGACAATGCGTTCTTAATCTCGCGTGCATTCGCTCACTTCGTGGTATAACGGTCATATTTATAGATATGTTTGCATATCCGACCTTCTCACGTATCCGCCTATGCTGCAGAAGGGCCACATCGTGGTTCACAGGGCTGAATACCAGGTGGGCTCGAGTTAAATTCCAGGCCACGGCTGACATCCGTGACGAGTGAAGTGACATCGGAGCCGGTCTTGGGCCCACCCTTCACCAACCACCGTGGCTGTCACTGCAACGAGGAGGCCTTCATCCAGCAGTGGATTCACAGAGGTTGAATACTTCTAAATAGTGTATTGATCGTTGCGGTTTTTCCAGGCCACTCCAACATAGGCAGCATTCGTGGCCTCCATCAAGAGCCCTACCCCTCCCCCTCTCACCCCAAGCCCAAGTTATTTGGAATTCGTGGAATCTTGAGAGGGTCTTTCCGACAGTGAGTGGTGGTCTCTAAACAAACCTGACGGGCAGGGAAAAAAGGTGTTCCCACTCGCATTTCCCTCCCAGTGACACCACGTTTCTCAGTTCTCCACCTTACCGACACCGCCGGTACACATTCCACACCGCTAACAGAGGCTGGCTTTTACTGGTGTGGGGCCCAAAATATGGTTCAGATGCAGGCGACTGCAAAACATCGGGGTTTAAGGATTCAGCACCGGCACGCACCTGATCGGAATCAGATATTGGACGCGGAGCAGAGTTGAGCCTGGATAGGCGACCATCTCTATCTGATGGGATCGACAGCGCCCCAACCACTGTGCCACCGCTCCCCCTAAACTCATTAAATCATCACGATACATGGGGCAGAGATCGCACGTGGGTGTCCACTGCACATCTCGTCGTTTGTTTCCACTTTCCTCCGTCTGCACGATTACCCCCAAACCCATGATATGCAATTACTAAAAATATATATTCCTACAAACGCGATTCGACACAAGTATCGAAAAGCTTTGAGAATAGACGTAAATTAATCATTAGATGCATCGTTAAATTCCACGAGCAAACCGCTACAAACTTTACAGCCTCGTACAAAGCGGCAACGAGGTTCGTCTCACCAGGCATGCGTGCACAACACCACAAAGCCGCACCGCCGTAATCTCCAGTGGCCATTCGTTTTTATTGTGACGGGGTTACATTTCACGCGACTCGTAAACACGACATGTCCGGGTTGAACGCGCCACAAAGGTTCACCTTCAGTTCCAAAAAAAACTCCAGCACCCGTTGGCTTTGCACGCGATCCGCACGTCTCCGCTGTTCGAGCGTTTGCAGACACCAAGTCTCAAATTCGGCGTCCCCATTCACCCCCCCACCCTGCCCCCCCTAAACTCAAGACGTTCACCCAAATTATCACCACAATTTCCAGAATCATAAACGTCAAAAGGGGGGCTTGCGACACAAAGGTTGCACAGCACCCATTTCGCTAGGACGACCTCCACCATAGCTGGAATGGAAGGTGACGGGCCAGCTGTACTCACTCTTCACACGAGCGTTGCATCGAGCCGCCAGCCAGTATTTGAGCGCAGCACAACGGCGACCGACGAGGTTCCACCGCGTGACCTGGACGCCAACGAAAATACCCACGCGCTGTCATCGCACGGCGCCACTGCTTGGCAGAGCGACGAGGCTTTGCCACGAGTGCCCCCGACACACACACAAACAAGAGCCTTCGAATGGGAAAATAATAGACAGATGTACGAAAAATAAATCACGTTGAAATTAAAATTAGATACGTTTCGTTTACGGCTTTGTTTACGACCGAGATGTGCGGCGAGTACTAAAAGTTAACGTGACCACAAACGCAAAAGCGGGGTGGGGGTAGTTTAAGCGTTATAGGTTCGTCACCACGCGCATGCCAAATACCTTGACACAGCTTAAGCCTCTTGGTGTCTGCACTATGGAATTTTTCCATCCATAAGAGACGGCAAGGTAAAGAAAAGGGTTTCTTGTTAAAGGTTTATTGAAGTAGGCGTTTCACATCGATGGTTGCGGGCGGAGTCAGGGTCAGATATGTAAAGGATACAAGTGAAATGTGACGCGTGAAATATCCAAGACAAAAATGAAGATCCATTCGCATAGGAGAGAAACTTTTTTTTTTAGGGACCGATCTTACAAGTTGAAAAACCACAGGCGATCGACAGCGCACTCATTTTAAAGAGGTCGCTTGCATTGAAAAGGCAGCTGTTAATAAGATACAGCAGACAAAAAACCGATGACGTTCGTCAAGGCAACAAGGCAACGGCTATGCATAGTGGCAAAAACTTAGCATTCCACAAAGCGACGATTTTCTGCAACAGGTCACGTAGGTAATACTATGCACAGTTCTATAAATCCTTCTCTTTACGTGCAGTACTCATGTTTGAAAGGGAACCCCGCAACCCACCCCACAGAGGAATAAATTGTTTGACGTACACGTGGGGAGTTTTGGTTTAGCAAACCGCACACTTGGGTTCGTGAAATATGCTCAAATGTTGTGAAATGACATTGCGACCAATGCCACGCAGGCTGTGGCGAGTACTGCAAGTCTCTCTCCTTGTGCCAGCAACATGAACACAGGACAGGGCTCAAAGATCTCCCGGGCACCTGGGCCCAGGAGTTTACATTCATGAAGAACCAAAGTGGGTCTACAGAAGCAGATCAAGACGGCATGGATGCAATGCTCTATCGAACCAAGGTCAACACCGCGCCTCGCCACAGCGTCCTTCCTTTTTACAAGCTCAACATAACCATGCGATATGGCACACGTACTGGTGTTAACGGCAGCTGTATGTATGGTAGTTGTAAAAGCCGCATGGCGACAAAGACCGAGCCCTACACTGACTTTAGTAACCTAAATCGAGCCATTTAGCCACAATGCTCCAGAAATGAACCGACTGCACCTGGGCTGCCACACGAGTCGCTAGCCCCCAGTGACCGTCAACCCTGCGCACAGGGTCTCACCGAAGTCACCAGGGCCAAGCGGCCGAGTTAGACTCTGACAACGGCAGTGCGGATCTGCTGCTGGGGGAGCCCAGGGCGCGTGGGACGCTCCGCGTCTAATTGTGGAAGCGCTTGCTGGGGTCTTTGGCGTGGTCCAGCAGGAGCCGGCAGGGCGTGAACTGCTCCCCGTAGACCGCCTCGAACTTCTTCATCTGCGCCACCAGCTTGTCCGCCCCGTAAGCGTCCACGAACCTGAACGGACCTGCAAATCGCACGCACACGTAAACATCGGCGCTCGCCATGTCCGAAGTTTTCTGCATTCCTCACAGCGCTAACCAGACCCCCAATGGCAAAACACCCGTTGTCGTTGTCAATGCTCAAGCCAAAGCTGGATGTCGGCCTCCGAGCCATCACCATCCCTCTGTGATGCAACAATCGATCAAGCACCCTGCACACACAAGCCGACGCTCCATCTCTGCAGCGGACGTCCTCTTGGGCACATTCGGTCCTCTAGATTAGGGTTTGACTGTTAAGGAAAGCAAAAGGGCCCGGGCAGGACACGTTGCGAGAAGCGATGACGGTCGGTCGGCGAGAACAACCACGGAGTGGCAAAGTAACCACGGAGTTGAAATAACAGCGAGGAAGAATGTGCGGTCGTAAATTTGTTTTTTGCACGATTGTCCTTGGGTGGGAGCAACGGAGCAAAAGGGCAGTGCGTGCGACCTTGTTCAGCAACGACGGGAGGTATCGTCTCAGAGTTTAAACATTAACTTGAGGAAATTGCGCTCTTCCAAAGGTTCGTACAACTTTTTTAACAACTCTGACTTCCGCAGAGTAGATCTCAGCTCAGCTTAGTCGCGCGTGGAAGGTACAGGATGGGTACGTTATTGCCAGCAGTGGAGAGTGCAGCGCAGTCCACTGTTGTGCTGTACTTCTAAGCTCCCATGTCTATGTTCCCAAGTCTTCACCAAAGCCGCACTGACCAGCGTAGTGAAGGGAGGTCAAGTAATCTCCACTACATACATGGTGTGGGGGAGGCCCCCCCCCCCCCCATTCAGCAGTGGATTAACAAAAGGACTATATATACACGTGACTTTTGAAATGTATATTCTGAGCAGGCAATAACAGTTGTTATTGCAAATAGCAGTGTTATTCTGAGCTGTGTCGACCAAGTTGACATTAATTCCCCCCCACCCCATCCTGCACCCGTCCCCCTTGGCTCCTCCCCCCTCCTCTTACCCTATACAGTATATTAATGCCCCATCACAAATAACTCCCACTACAGTTATTTTGCTGTGCCTTTTTACACCTGATGAAGGAAGTTTGTGTTGCCTCCGAAACGTCGTGATTTATTATTTTATCTCTATTATTATGTCTATTCTTTTTATTATTTATTTTTTATTTTTACCTACGTGACTTTACCGGAAAAAAACCAACCTAAGAGTACAAGTTGACATTATCTAATTATGGACTTCATGTTTTGCGGCCCCATTATGGAATCGCAGCCTTGTGCTGGCTACTGTGAAACACACCCTTTACCGGAACTGCGGGTCCCTCCTGGCTAAACAAGTCTAAATTCATTCATCGAAGCAAAGCCCCTTCGCAGCGAGTGCCAGCTCCCAGGCATGCGACCGGGAACAAAAACAACAGCCGATTTATGTCCACGGCTCGACACAATTTGTACCAGCACGGTAACCCAAAGCTTCCACAAGCGATCACCCCAGCCCATCAACCGAACAAGGTCGGTACTGATTGAACAATCCCCATTCGAGCATGTGCTCACGATATTTACATTACATGAGGAATTGATTAATTACTATGTTGTTTGCGAGTGGTTTAGGTAAACCTACAGCCGTAAGAGACTACATGAGCCACGGGGGCAATAGAATGGTGTAAATGAGAAACTCATCCTGATCAAGTCATGACGTGATCGTTATATATGTATATTTTTTATCTTCGGCAGATTCCAAAACTTTCCCAACTGTGAGCCCCACTTTCCAAAACACTGTTTGCAACCAAAAACTCCCTTTCTACTTTTACTGGAAAGCACTTATTCAAAATAGCGAGTGCTTATGCAACGTAACATGGGGGCTGCACCATGCCTCTTGTAATAATATTCCAAAATAAAAGAAACTTTAGTCCAAAGTTGTGTTGCTACTTGAGACTAACCCTATTGAAACTGGCCACACCGTTCAATGCGCTGTTCAATACGTCCGAGGACACAATTAGAACTATATGCGTGTATGCAAACTTGTTTATCCTCTGTCCATTAGCTTCTGTACTGGGAATGAAACCCTTCAAAAGACAAACACACGGTTGGAGACCGTTAACTAATCCTCGTGTAAAGCATGGTTTTTTTTTTAGGGAAACGCGTAGCCCCGCAAATGCTGGCTCACGCGACTGCAGCCGGAAGCGCCTACAACAAGGCAGCTCCGGAGCCCCTACTTGCTCATGCTGAAAGTGACATCTTGGAAGAGGCAGTACCCACACTTGACCACACCGCCGATCGACACTAACATAATCCGCGACGTTTCCAAGCTTGTTTTGTGTCGTCCCCCGCGCACGGTTTGTTACGAATCACGGTCGCGTTCTCAACCCACGCTGGTGGTCGCGACCCACGCTCTGCCCAACCCCAAAGTGACCGACGCTGGCGGCGATCAAGCGGCGCGGACCTCCCCAGCAGGGCGGGAAGCCCAGGCCAAAGACGGCGCCGATGTCGCCCTCCAGCGCGTTGTCCAGGATGCCCTCCTCCAGGCACAGCACCGCCTCGTTCACAAAGCGGCTCACCAGCCGCAGCTGCACGTCCTGGTCCGTTGACCTGGAGGCCACAAAGACACACACGCACACGCGCGCACGGATTGCCATGAACACACAAACACAATTATTTAAGCATATGCATTCAGAGCTTCGAAATTGAGTTCACATACACGTCACAGCTTAACAGGTTAAGAAACTGAACATCTTGTGAACGCGTGTTCAGTACAGCTTCGTATGCCTGACGACATGAACATTGAAAAATTCTGACAGAGATAACATATTGTCATTCAAAATGTCTCACGATAGAAGGATACTGCATCTAAACTGGACCCGTAGCGTGACCAACGGAGAAGAAAAAGGCTGCACAAAGAAGAAGACAACCTGATGATGATGATGATGCAGACTGTTGAGAAGGAAACTGGCACTATTTGGACAAACTTTTGTAGGATGGATAACAGGAACATATGTGTTGCTTGGAAAATGCAAGGAACCGGAAAGAAAAGACCTAACAGAGAATGGCTTGATGACGACGTCACACGAGATTGGTGCTATAAAGATATGGCACTACTTGAGCATATTGGCACAAGACAGAGTAAAAGTGAAAGCGAATGGTGAAACGTGCAGTGGACACCTATGGGCTATCTGGCCATGGATTGTGACGACTTCTACTGGCGAATGAATGCCCGCTTGCAGGCCGGGTTCAGAATTCCCCGTGTCGCGTAGGGTAGGCCGTTGCCAGGGCTGCCCTTTCAAATGTTTAAGATGAGAGGCCACGGTGTAAGAGGCGAATAACTGGGGGAAAGGGGGCACAGAACTATGGGGTGGCAGCAGAAGGGTGAGGAATCAGACTTCCAGTCTCGTTGGAGGCTTGCTGCAGTGGAGAGTGCGTGGAGGCGAGTCGAGGGGGATGGGAGGGGAGAGGCAGGAGACAGAGTGAGATGAGCGGGGGAAATTTTGTGGAGAATCATGAAGACAATCTTGGAATCCACCCAGGATTAAAGTGGGAGAGCCAATGGATGAGTGGAGTATTGGGTGATGTGGTCATGTTTACAGGTGCGGCATCCCTGGGAAGGGAGATGAAGGAGAGGGGGCACATGAACCAAGCAACTCAAGTTCATCACGCGCTTAAAAAACCCACACGGACGTGCGAAACTTCACGAGAAGGCGGTAGGTTTATGAGCGTTAGCACAACCGTTTTGTCTACAATGCAGTACTCGCAGCAGCTGGGTGCAACATTTCATAGATGAAGAGATATAATGTACACACGCGCACACTGTATGTAGTACTTGTGGTGTACAAGTTCAGGCCTCTTGTCTATCAAGTCATGGATGAACGCCTCAACACCTTGCGAGTTGTGGGATTTTATTTGACCATATTAAACCACGCAAGTCGGTGGGGATTTTCCAAATGCTGGGAGCATAGATGTACAGTGTAGGTTTTTTTTTTTTACGGGCAGTGGCGGCTATGCACGTGGCCTGTAATCCAGCACTGGAGGTAGTGAGAGTTGGTGGGTCACTGCACAAATCTTGTGGAACTCCCTTCCCATGGACGTCGAGAAGGTGCCACAACCCGGCTCGCCAGAAGGCAGTACAGCAAGTGTACGGGGATAGAGCGTTGCCCCCCCCCCTCACACACGTGGGTTTTCTTCAGGTGCTCCCGTTTCCTCCACATGCATAAACACTCATCATCAAAATCAGCTGAAAACATCTTTAAAAAACCAATGTGGCCTCTGTTGACAACGTAGCGCCAGATCAACCTACAACAACCGATTTTATTAAGTGGCGGCCCAGCTCAAGCACCTTCATGGCTCAACCAACGCTGCTTAGTTTTGATATACGATGAGATCGGCCACATTCCAGATGAGCTATTCATAGGCATCCATCACTTGCCATAGCTAGAGGAAGTAGATAGTAGGTAAAGCTCACATGCCAGCAGTAAATCAATACCACAGAATCATTAACCGATTGAGATGTGGCAATCCACATGTATGTACAAGTTTAGCAGCTCCGGCAAATGCCAACTTCTAAACCTCAAAGGAGGCAGATACTTACACTTCACAGACTTTACTGTACACATTGAACAAGTATAGCACAACGTGTAAAGCCCCGTATTGCCAATCCACTGTTGGATGAGGGCCTCCCCATACCCCACGTATTTTGTGGGGGCAAATGTACACCGCTGTGTTTATTGTGCACTTGTTAGACCTGCGAAACGCAGGTCTAACGAGGTTTGGTGCATTCCGGGCAATTTTTTCACAGGCGCAGCAGCAGCAGCAGCATAAACACCACAGATGGTGGAATGGACCCATTAGGATTTGCCCATTCACATGGAGGAAGCGGCAATGAAGGAATCAGCAGACCCGCACTATGAATGCAGTCACCATAGTTCGATTCCCAGCCATGGCTACCACCAGTGGAGAGTGGTGGTTAAATTGGTCCTGGGCTACTCGCCTTTCTTTACCAACCCATACTGAGAAGTGTGGTGAAGCATGGTCAAACAATCCCAAGAACTGACATGGCCGAGGAAGGCCTTAATTTTTTAGTATTGAAATGACAAAAGGCTGTTAATTTCCCACGTACACACATTTCTAAATCCTATTCAAATGTGAACAAGGCATTAAGTCTCTAAAAAACTTTATAGATGTAAAGTTAGGCACACGCCAATGTGCGTGCCACAGACGTCCTCAAGAAACAATGAGTCCTTGGCAGAACGCCCACATTGGCTCTAACGAGTAATTACAGGACAACAGCTCAGCCAATGACCGTGTTTAACACCACTTCAAAACTATGCGGTACTACAGTAGGAGAGCCACTGTCGCCACTCAGATGGTATTTACCATCATCACCACCACCACTGGCCACTGCCTATCCACTGCGAGATGAAGGCCTTCCCACGCCATTGCCATCCCGAACGGACCACTGTTGCCGCCATCCATCGTACCCTTCGGATTGTGATAGTCACAAAAAAATAAAATGTAGCAGCTTTAAAACTGCATGGGTTTGATCGGCGGCACGCGAGAGTGCCGATCATCACTTCGTGGCCGTGTTGGCGGTGACTATTATGACACGAGCGGCCAGGTCGGACTGGCACCGATGGGACAATAACCCCTGGTGGCAATGTTTCGGATGCCAGCCAAGCAACACCCCCACACACATAATTTACAGAGCACACGCGGATGCTGATGAGCGTTATTGTTCTTCTGCGAATGTTTCTCTCTCACAGGAACTCTTTCGCAACCTATGATGAAATGAACTGGAAATCTGCCGAAACCGCGTCAGACCTCGCAAGCTAAGCATAGTTAAGCCTGGATAGTGGTTGGAAGAAAGACCGCCGTGCATTAAACATCTGTTGTAGGCCACTGCGGAGCACCTTGGCCACAAATCCACACTGTTCCAGCATGGCGAAGTATGGTCAAACAACCCCAATGACAAGAACGGTATTCGGAGGCCCTTATCTGGTGGTGGCTTGACAAACCGTACTTGTACAACATTTAACAAATTGTTCATAAATAAAAACAAGTGGGTGGACGAAATACTAAGATTAGACTACGAAACCAGAACATGCACATGGCCTGCTCGAGGCCACGAATAAAGCCAGAAGATCGTCAACATAAACGGTAAAGAGTGGGCACGTTCACACCAACGGTACTGTTCACGCGAACGCGATTGGTCGGTCACGCGCCCAACGCGTCTGACTCACACTTCAGGCTTCGCCACCAGCTTGAACTGCGCCAGCACCTGCTCCATGCCATCATGCACCTGTCGCTCCTTCTTGCCCGGCTGGTACACGTAGCAGCCCTTGCCCGACTTGCGTCCTGATGTACAGACAATGACAGAGGCAAAGACAAAGATCCCCCTGTAAGCTCAAGGGAGGCTGCAATGCACAAGCATGATTTTTCTTACGTATGTGTGTTAAATTGACTACTGCGAGGCTGCGTTGAAATTTGTCTTAAGACAAAACACTCACAAAGACAAAGATCCCCCGTATAGCCCACACACACTGTTGAAGCAAGTGCTGTGAGCGAGCCCCGATGAAAGCCAAAATGGTGCACGAGGTGGGTGGTGTGTGTGGCAAGCACCACTCCCAGCCACCTTTGTCTCTCCAGTGGTAATTTTTTGCACTCAGTTATTGCAGAGTAAACTTAGGAGAGGCCCAGGACCTCACTCCCCATGCACATAAAAAACATAAAAATTTAAAGTTCGCACATTTAACTTCATAGATAGTTAAAGCAAAGGCTGTAAGTGAACACCTATTAAGGCTAGTGGTGTGGTCTTCTGATCTAAGAAGCTGAACAGGGATGAGCCAGCATAGTTCCTGGATGGGTGTCCACGAGGAACGTGAGGTGCTGTAGGCTGTGCAGCTAAATTCAAAGTTGTACTGCTCTTATATGCTCCTCTTACTTGACCAATCGACATTGACCAGCACGGTAAAGTATAGTAAAAAAAATCCCCCGTGACCCACAGAGGATAGGCCCTCCCCGATCCAGAAGAGGAACGATGTACAGATATTATTTGGGTGGCAGTAATTTTAGATATTTACTTCTAGGCTGTAATGCTGTTAAGAGAGTCTCTCTCGGCTGCCTAGTGACCGTGTTGCATGCGACTACCGCGGCTGCCCTTTGGCTGCGAAGCGAGCAACAACACGTCACGATGTCAACCTTTATCCCAATGACGACCGGCACAAAAATACCACCCACGATAGCGAGAACCACGCGTCGATATCGCTGGTCCAACAGTCCAAGCAATAAACGCAGTCACGACCAAAAAAGGATCCCTTGCGTACACGCTATTACTGCCGAGCCACAGAGCCAGCACCAGAAGATAAGCTGCGTACTGCGCAGTTTTACTTAAAAAATAAATATGAATTACGCAAGACATGTAAAATGTATGCATCAGAACACGCAGAAATTCGAGCGCATTCCGGGCGATTTGGCAAAAGGTTTCAGCCACCCTTCACACCTTGTGACCAGCGAAACAGTCGCCCAACCATGTGAAACAATGCCGTAGCAGCATGTATGTTAAATTTCTTTCGCACCAATCTTAATTTGGAGCTTTCGTGACTGCAGGGATTACTCTTTGGTTCTTTCGGTAAAGTCACGTATAAAGATAAAATAATAAAATAATAAATTATATAATAGCATACTACGCCGTTCTTTCGCACCGTACATAAAAAACAATGCTCAGGAGGTGCGGGGGAAGGAAAATTAACAAAACACAAAAAGCAGTTTCAAAAAAATGAGTTTTCAATCTATATTTAAAAGTGCATAGCTTCAGTGATTTCCTAACATCGGAGGGAAGAGCGTTCCAGACGGCCGCAGGAGCGCATCCGAAAGCGCACGATGCAGTGACCGTCTTTGTTCGATGGCAGAGCCAAAATCCTCTGCTGCGAGAATGACCGGAGCAGCAGGAGCAGCAGCACGTGGCACGAGCAGCACAAGTTTACAAGCAACGCACCCAGGAAGCCCTTGGACACCATGGTCTTGAGGACGCCCACGTCCCCGCCGCCGAATCGCGAGCCGAACGCCTTCTCCAGGTCTTCGGCCACGTGCGCCGCCACGTCCAATCCCACCTCGTCGGCCAGCGAGGCAGCCCCCACGGGAAAGCCGAAGCCCGTCGTCAGGCTGTCCAACTTCTTCGGGCTGACGCCCTCCTGCGTCGCGCGGTGGGAACGGGCAAAGAGCAACAACAGGGAGGGATGATGTTTGGTGGGCGATCTTCGCACTCGTGGCTCTATTTTAAGTGTTGATTCTCGTCAAGATTTTTCCGTGAAATTGCCGATCATTTTGATAGCGGATCAATGGTCAGGATGATGTACAGGATTGGCATCAAGGCTGCATGACTATAGTGAGGGCAAGCCATAAAAGCATCCTGCAATGGCACTTTGCTTTCCACAACTGACAATGCCACCACACATAGATGTACGTGTCCCACTGTACAAAAGCCCTGTGGAGCTCCTGTGTTGTTCGTGTTTAAAAAATGTATTTCTGAGGCACCGACGGCTGGACAGTGCTCCAATGCGAGACCTATCGGAGCGTGCCAACAGTTGCCCCAGAGTCTAGGAGCAAATCACTCGGGATAACACCTGATCGTCAGGTCTGGATTGTGCTTCGATCGGTGGCCTCCAGCAAATTCACTCACCTGCAAGGTCCTGATGGCCTCGGCTAGCATGGGGGCCAGGCACCTCGTGGTGTAGAATCCAGGCCCATCCTGCACACATTCGAAGACATAAAAAATATTACGAAGATGCACTCCAAAAGTGTTCTTCATTGCAAAGCCTGCGGGCCACTGGCAGCCTCCGACGTGCGGCTCCCCCGACAATACACAACTGTGAAGACACCCCCCCTCTGCAGGCGGTGTGGCAACCCTCACACTGATGATGTCCTATCGGTGAAAGAACCCCCCCCCCCCTCTGAAAATGTGTGAAGAACACTGCACTGCAAGCTAGGATTCAGGTAGGCAAGGAATCATTTGTTCGAGTCGCAAGGCAGCACAGCAGTCCTGGCGTCCCACCTTGACGATGATGATGACCTTGCCCTGCTTCAGGCCCATGGCCACGGCGGAGGCCGTGGTGTCCTTGGACGTCTTGTCGGTGGTGATGATCTCCAGCAGTTGCATCTTGTCCACTGGTGAGAAGTAGTGCATGCCGATCACCTGCCAGCGACACACACGCACACGCATCAATACCCCCGCCAACCCTCTTCACCTGATTCGCCAAGGTGGATCGGTGGCGCAGTGGTTAAACGCATTGCGCTATAAACCCGGCAACCAGAGTTCAACTTCCAGACTTGGTTAACTTTAGTGTATGCAGAACTTCTTTTGCACCGTACGAAGCCAACCATGCTAATCGGAGGAGTGCCAACGGCACCTGAACTCGCCCGGTATTTCGAGTACACACTGCAAACGTCTCGAGATGTTTGCCAACACCTTCCCCGACAGCGTTTCAGTCCCCCGTGTGTTCCACTGAGTGACCCACTTGGCAGCCCGGTCACGGCGCTGCGCTCGCAGGAGAGAGAGAGCGAGAGAGCGAGAGGGCGACTCACCTTTTCGGGGCGTTTGCTTGCGGCGGCAATCTTCGCGATGGGCAGAGCGGACGTGTTGCTGGCGAACACGCAGTGCGGGGGAATCACCTGGCAGGGGCGAACGGCATCGTCGACAACGTCAACACGGACTTCACCGCCGTACAATGAGCGCGACGCCAGGGGACCGCGGCACGAAGCGCACAAGAGAGCGACTCGGCTTGAAAATGGCATTTCACACCCCGTGTCGCTCGTTACGTAACAACTCGATCATCACAAATCAACAAAAGATCTTTATGTAACGTCTTTTACGCAACCAGCCACAAGTCTCCCTTGCAGCGAGAATTTTTACAAGCCAGCATTGTTATTACAGACTGTTGGTGTAACCAGTGTAGGAATTGTGGCGTACGAGGCACCTTGTCCGTCGTTTCATGTCACCACCAAACCTGCGCAACTCGTGTTTTTATTTTTATTTTATGACATTTATCTTGCTATGTACAGCATTTAGACACTTAATCATTGGAGTCTCAGTGGGCGCCCGCATGCTACGGATTGAAAAAAAAAATTCTCAAGAGCGATACTCTTGTTGAAACATGTCGCGATTTTGGTCAACACACCCATCGTCATTTTGGCCGAATGGTCACGTCCATTTCGGCATCATGCGGAAACGTCGCAGGCGAGAGGAGTCACGTCGAGATGCGTGTGGGGAGGGACCAGGGGATGGGGGCGGGGCGCTCACCGCCTCGATCTCCTTCATGACGCGGTGCTTGAGATCCAGGTCCTCAAACACGGCCTCAATGACCATGTCGGCCGTCTGGAAGCCGCTCAAGTCGAGCTGGGGGTGCAGGTGCGAAAGGACTGTGTCACGTTCGAACGTGGACAGCGTCTTCTTCTTCACCTTGTCCGACAGCCTGCGAGCCGGGGGACGAAGACAGTCGAGGTTACCCACTCGGCGCATAATGAGGCCATCAATTATTTTTAAAAAAGAAAATTATTTTACGCAGCTCTTCTCAAAATCTGCGCATTGGGCGTTTACTGGTTCTTAAAAAAATACTAATTATGCACGACGTCTAGATGAACACGCAAATATTTTGTGCACATGTTAAGTTGGCAATGATTTTATACAGAACGTGTGCAAAGGTGTGCCCCCTAGTGGGAACATCAGGCCCATTGAACCAACTTCAGAAGTAGTTCTGACATTCCACGGCTCTTCTTTGAGACTGGTTGATTCACCGCTCCAGTGTTGCCCCTTTTGTCTCCAAGAGTTCCAAATGGAAAATGTATTTGTCTCACGATTGCCAGTTCAACGGTTCCCCTTAAACGTCGCAAGGGTGGAGTGGTGGTTGCAGTGGTTAGCAACGCACCGCGTTACGAACCGACTCCCTGGGTTCCCGTCCAGGCCACAAATAACACCGGTGGTGAGCGACGCACTAACCGTTCCCGGGCACCACCTCCTTGCACCAACCGGCACTGTACCAGAGTGGTGATTAAGTATGGCCAAACAAACCCCCTCCCCCCCAAGACTAACGCTGCACGTGGCCTTCATCCAGCAGGGGCTATCCAGATATGCGATATAAGCTCCATGAAAAAATGCCATTCCTCCCGCTGACTGAGCAGGGCCCATGGGTCACACACCCCTTGTAGATCTGCTGCTGCCCCCGGCCCAAGCCCTCCGTCGAGGTGTCCTTGAGGATCGCGGTGACGCCCTTGTCAATGGTGACCTGCGCGATGCCGGCACCCATCAGCCCGGCGCCGATCACCGCCACCGTTCTGACACGCGCACAAAGACAAGAGACAAAGATACCCCCGTGTAGCTTAAACACACTGTTGGGGCAAGTGCTGTTAGCGAGCACCTACGAAGGCCGGCACGGCACACGAGGGGGTAGGTGGCCAGCACCACGCCCGGCCGCCTTTGCCTCCGCAATGGTGATGTTTACACACCGCACCAGGTAATCATGAGGCCGATTCGACCTAGGGGAGGCCCTGGACCGGGTCAGATACTCGTCACTGGTGTTGGCCATCAGCGGGAATCCCCACACACACGCGCACACACACACAGGCATACATAGCTCTGATGTCACCCATAATTCGCTTACAAGATAATTGACACTTGGGCAATGACAGACGTCAGGCGCATGTTTGAAATGCGGCTACAGATACCAGTTACTTAGAGGTGCGTGCGCACTGGCGAGCACATATCGCCCTCTTCTTCTTTCGTATGGCTGATGTAGATGCAGCGCAACTACAATTTCACATTCAGGTGGTCAAACCAGATAACCGATTGCCAATAGTATGCCAGGTGACCAGTCTCCCCCAGCAAAACAATAAATGTGTCTCACTTGCTTTTGACTTGCGGTGGAAAGACTTAAGGCAAGAATTTTGTGAAATAATGTGTAAATATATATATTTTTTTATTGTTACGGCTTAGATTTCTGGCGAATTTACATTAATTCCAAATACATCGCAGGAGTACGAGCGATGGCGAGGCCTTGTGGAGGCCTCCATCTAGAAGTGACCAATCATGACCAATGATGACAATGATGACAATGATGACAATGATGACAATGATGACAATGATGACAATGATGACAATGATGACAATGATGACAACGATGACGAGGGAATGAGTAGGATGGCGTCTCAACTCACTTAGCCTGTCTCTCGGGCACACCGAATCGGTTCTTCTTGCAGGCCACCTGGCCGTGGTAGAGTCCGATGAGGGCCCTCGACTCCCGCGTCATCGCCAGCTCCCCGAACGCCTACGCGGGAATGCCAGGGTCAGGCCTTCACCCTCCACCCGCTTTCGTCATCAAAAACACTTCATCAGGAGGTAGGGCAAATTACTGGAAGGCTGTGCGAGCCCACGCTGAAAAATATGCCTAAGCAGAAGCGAATATTATAATTTGTCAATCCACTGCTGGATGAGGGCCTCCCCATGGTTCGTGGGGGTTATTTGGCCATGCCCCGGGTTGGGGAAAGTGGGGAGCACAGATGTACAGGACAATGACGACATTGCTGCACTGCTCCCTGTAGCCCACAATGCGGCTCCATTGACCCTCATACAGCAGTGGATTTAGAAGAGGGATGTACACGTACACGTGTGCGTTGCGCGGGTTAATAAAAAAAATAGAATACAATTAAAGAAAAACTTGGGAACAAAATAACACACACTTCTTCTCACAGAAAACTTATGCTTGCTTCATTTGGAACAATTTCCAATCGTCTTTAGATAGATTGGTATTGTATTATCTTCCACAGATGGTCGCACTATGATGTTAAGAATTAGATCATTTCATTGACTTAACCCACTTGCTCTCAACAGAAGACTACTTTCCGGCCAATGAGATTGTTACGGTTAGCAAGTGTTTTTTTTCCCTGGACGCTCCCGAAATGAATGAGAGGGGAAGAATCAGCACTGCAATTAGAAGGCCACAAACCTCAAAGCATTAACTCTACGCGTGCACTTGCCGTGCCCTTCCTTTCAAGAGTACAATAATCTCTACCTTGCGCTCCGCAGCATATCCAGCAGGAAGCCCCTGCTCCAGGCCGGTCTTCACCACCTGCAGCAAAGCAAAATGGGCGGGGAGAAAATGTCAAGAATGTCGCTACATCTGGACGCAGCCGAGATCTTCACAAGACAAGGGCGAACGGTGGGCGTCAAATAAGCGCGGTGACGCTGGTGGCACAGTGGCAGCGCGTTGGTCCTGCTTGTGGCGGAGGTTTTCGTATCCGGCAGGCCACCCCGGTTATTGCCCGAGGTGGATTTAGCCACAATATATATGACGTGCCGTCTGCTTCGGGTACTGTACAGTTCAAGATCCCGTGACGTCGAATGAAAAGAGGCCAGTGTGCCAACTTTCAAGACCCAAATTAAAAAAATAAACCTGAAAATTACTCTATTGGGATCACAGATCAACCTCGCCCACCTACTGTGAAAATACCGCAGACCAGGTCTGTGAAACACAGCGCATTTGTGATAGTCTGGCCCTATACGAAAGGCGCAAATACCAAATTATTATTTTCGTGGTATGTTAATGCTCTCAAAGAACCTGTACAGAGTCCAAGGGCAGCAATCATAGTATGAGTTGCAATTTACGACCAGCTGACAACTCGTCAAGTAACATTCACATAAAATGTCATACCCGGATTTTTATCATGCAATTATATATAACAAACATTGCTCGGCAGTGGAATATTAACAGACGAGAATGAAACGAGGGTGTGTGGACTCGCCTCAATGATCTTGAGTGGCGCTGGGTAGAGCCCTTTGCTCTGCTTCATCACCATGGCTAGCACCCTCTTGTAAATCTGCTCCCGGACAAATGCGTAGCCCATCACCCAGTCCTGGACCTCTGTAACAAACAAAAAAATGCAAAAACGCGCAATATGGCGAACAAATCAATCTTACAGCCACGTTTTACCAAAGCGTGCATTGCACGTTTCATTTACATTTAACCATTTCACAAGAGCGAGTTTGTATTTGACATGTGTGTAATCATTTCAATCAAGGGTAGAAAACCAATGGTCCCCGACTTGGTGTCAAAAGGTGACTGCGACCACACGAGGCCTACCACTTTTAAAACGGCCGGCAAAGGAGATCTATCCATCATCACAGGCAACTTTGGCTGCCCCAATCAGGTACTAGTGCGAGGAATATTCTAGACCAGACAACAACACCGCACTGCTAATTTTAGCACTCCGTCACTTGTTGTATCTCAAGTAGTTCTGCGTGTAGTCAATGCACACAGTTCTAGTTTGATCAAAGTTAAGTGTTAACAAGGTGTGCGGGTCCACCAAATAGGAACCAAAAATCCTATTCGGCCCTCGGCGAGAAAAAGGTTGCCACCCCCCCCACTCTTGGGAGTAGGTGCCACGGTGGCGAGATGTTAACTCCCTCTCCCAGTATGCAGGAGGTCGTGTCAGTTCAATCCTGACCCAGATCCAACGCCTGTATAGCTGGAGTGTTCGCGTCCCTCTTCCATGTGGTCGCGTGGATTTTTCTCCGGGTCCTCCAGTTTTCCCCTCCACATTTAGAAGAGTATTTGGCTGCTGTACATTTCCACGTGATAAGCCACTTCGTTGAGCTATAATTTGTGCTAGCCAGGTAGAATTCTGAAAAAGCTTACTACATAGCTCAGTGGGCCTTAGCTGGTAAAATAAAAATAGTTAAGTTCAGTGCTTTAAGAGTTATCGAGCGATGGAGAAAGTCACACGGTGTGTACGGGGCAGCTAAGGCTCACTCTGCACGAGTCCCTTCTTCTTCTTGTTGGAGAGACGCTTGGCAGCCAGATCCTGCGCACAGGTGATGGCCACCTCCTCCAGGTACTCCAGTGTGCGGTCTGCAGGACTCTTCAGACCTGGGCCTATACACGTGTGCGTAGGAGACACGAATCACCCGTGTAGGCTTTAACAGACGGTTCGATCAAGTGCTGTTATGAGAGCACATGCCATTGTACGCAAAGACAAAGATCCCCCCCGTAGTCTTAATAGACTGTTGGGGCAAGTGCGGTTAGCGAGCACTTGTGAAGGCCGGCACGGCACACAAGGGGGTGGGGTTGTCAACACAATGTCCGGCTGCCTGTCTCCCCAGCGGTGATGTTTACACACCGCACCAGGTACTCATGAGGCTGAGTCGACCTAAGGATGCCCATGATCGGTTCAGATAATCGTTACTGGTTAACCACGAGCAGGAATCAAACTCGGGTAACCGGCTTCGTAACGCAGCGCGCGCTAACCGCTACACACATACACAGGCCCACACATCTATTTATACAGTATAGAGGAAGCGATGTATAGATGTATTGTGAAGCAGTGTATGTTTACAGAATGCACAATGGTCATGGTGCCTATTTGCTATCAAAGTGAAAATATTAAATTACAATGTCTATATCTGGCAAGCGTCCAATTCTGATTTTAAAGCACTAAGTGTATACAGCCGCATGGGTATACCCCACCTGCCAAAATTTATCATTTTTGTTTCTTCTTCACATAATTATACATTTATTTTTGTTAACTCAAGAAAGCCACTATTGCGAGTCCCACGGTTCTCTGCTCACAGTTGAACCAACTGCTTTGTTTGTCAGATTAAGACTGCCAAGTGGAACCAGTATCTCCTTCCACCCAGCCCTGCTATAAATAAAGGAATACGAATTAAAACCAACCCTTTATTTATATTAACCGGGGCAGTGACACGGCCAAACGCTGGCGCATTCGCTGCTTGCTGCTGAGGCTCATGGTTTGTATCGCAAACACATCAGTAAGTAAGCCGCTTACTTTAAGAAGCATTGAAGGCACGTACATTATCCATCTTCACCTCCATTCTAAGTAAGAACCATCCTACTTTACATGTGTTTTGCATTATCTACTTCTTTGTTTTCACTGGGCCACCCCTCCACCCCCTCCCCCATTGCTCTGAGCAATTGAGAGTTGACTGTATAGGGAAAGAGAAAGAACACAATACCTAGAGGGTCGATCAGCTGGTCCACAAGCCCCATCTTCTTGGCACGGTCCGCACGGATGTTCTTGCCAGTCAGCATCATGTCAAAGGCGGTTGGCAGGCCCAGCTGTACGCCACACAACAGAGGAGATGCATATGAACTTCACCGTCACATCGACATTATCCACGTTATTTACGTAATAAACGATTAGGGTTAAGTGTGGATATTGCTTGGAAGGGTGATCACAATGCACAAAGGAGTTAGATGCTGTGGGGCTTATACGGTGGGGCAGCAAAGGGGCAGTGCGACAAAATTCACAATTGTACTGCACTACTATGCTTCCACCACGCCTTTGGTCCCCTGCTCCCCTCGTATCCGGCCCATGTGCAGCGTGCTCCTCGTCCCCAGTGCTTCACACAGTCCTCACCATCTTGGGCAGCCTCTGGGTGCCACCGGCGCCCGGCAGTAGACCCAACATCACTTCCGGGGTGGCGAGCACAGTCTTGCGGTCCTTGGTGGCCACACGGTAGTGGCAAGCGATCGCCACCTGGCAATGGACAGCAACACAGCGGCAGTCATGGTCTCGTGTTTTTTTTACACTTTCCAACCAAAGTTGAAAGCGCTAGTAGTGCAATCATCATCGTGAAGATGATCCTAAACAACCAACATTCGAGTATAAAGTTGTGTTGCTGTTAGCGACTTAACCTGTAGATGCAGGCCACATTTCTAAATGGGTTTCTCACAACGCGACGATAGAAAATCATCTGAAAATGGTTAAGCCTTTTTGGCCAAGATGGCGAGTGTGTGCGAGTGTACAGCTGTGCGTATATACGTATATCGGTGTGCACGCATCAGCTCGTTTGATCGTCATCGTGCCACCTCCACGCATCTCAACATCACACGTAGCGCGTGCGACCCTCGGCAGCACAGCTCTGCTTCTGCAGTGGACGCACAGCCTGCGTCTCCCTCCCGACTCGTGACGGCCTAACCCCAGAACGGCTCGGATGTGACAGTGGGAAAAGGAAGAAAAAAAATCAACAGTCTCACCTCCAGGCCTCCGCCCAGACACGAGCCACTGATGGCCGCTACGACGGGCTTGGAAGACTTCTCCAGGTCGGCGAGCATCTTCTGGCCCTCCTGGGAGAGGAGGGTCACTTCCTCCGACGACTTGCACGACTCGATCATACTGCAGGGTAGTAAGTAATAATAATAAACACAACATGGGCGGTCAACAAAACACATGAAATAAACTCATCTGTTCCAGTCTGGGCATGCGCATCTGCCCGAAAGAAGCGCTTCGCTAGAGAGGGAGGACTGGAAAAGGCAGTGTGCAGACAGGTGGTATTTTCTGATTATAACAAGGGGGCACATTTTCTGGGTCATGTCTTCCTTTAGCGCAAGCAGTGCGGCCTACACACGCGAGCACACAAGCCCACCACCCACTTGATGTCAGCGCCAGCGATGAAGCAGCCGGGCTTTTTGGAGATGAGCACGGCGCTCTTGACGCTCTCGTTGGCCCACACCTCGCGCATCACTTCCGTAAACTCTGCCTGCATCTGCTTGGACAGCGTGTTCACCTGCAAGGGAGGGACGGTAACGAGCAACTCCACATTGATATGCCCAATCTTGTCAGATTCTTGAGGCCAAGCAAGGCGAAGTGTGGCTAGTTCTTGGCTAAGTAAACCGCCATGCCCAGCAAATTGTTATCGGCTGTGGGGGTACGTGGCGGGCAGTAGTGGAATACAGAAAAGTCAGCTGTTGTACTGTACTTCTATTCTAATGTGTCAATGCCACCCGCCTTTACCAACCCACATGGTGAAATAAGGCGAAATAATCCACAAGGCGTGGGAAGGTCCTCATCCAGCAGTGGATTCATAAAACAACTGTACACATTAATACAATCACAGCTTGAGCCGCTTTGTGTGCCGCAAGCAACGCATTGTTGAAGTAGAAACATATTAATATGAAGCGACGCATCACAGCGATTTGTTACCTTGGAGTTTGGCGTGTCGAACCGCACGACAGCCACATCGCCGCTCTTCACCTCGTAACTCACGTGCGTCCGTTCTGCGCACACAAGCAAAGTGCATGGTCAGAGCTGGCAACATTTGTATTCTACCCGTGTCACAATCTACATTACAGTCCTTTTGTCAATCCACTCCTGGATGAGGGCCTCCCTCTCCACACCGCGTGTTGGTCATGGGGGTTATTTGACCATACTTCACCCGACCGCCGAGTGCGGGTAGGCGATGGCAGGGAGCAGACGTTGGAGCATAGTACGGTACAACAATGTGTTATGCTGCACTGCCCCTCAGCTGCTGCCGCATCCCTAGAGCAGCCTATTGCACCCGTTTGATGCATTGTGGTCACCCATCTCAGCACTGGCGAGGCTCTTTACTTCCTTAGCTTCCAGGATCTGATGAGATCAGGAACATTAGGGGCGATTCTGTAATAGGCTACATGTTAACGACAGCATGGTGGGCTACGTACGGCGTGAAATAAGTTCAACATACATACGTACATGCGTAAAGCCAGCATGTTTTATTTTTTTAAGTTTAATATTGCATGCCGAGCACATCGTTTTAAATACATCATGTGTGTTGTCTACATTACTCACTCAAGATTATCTATTATCTAACTTACCTAAGTTAGATTATCTAACTTACCACACATTGTTGCTGACGATGAGAAGTATCTACTTGTTCTCCCTGCAAAAATAAACAAAACAAGGTTATTAAAACTTGATTTGAAGCTTTCGTGACTGCAAGAATTACTCTTTGGTTCTTTCGGTAAAGTCACGTAGAAAGAAAAGAAATTAAATAATAGAATACGTTTCGATTGCAACATAAGCAGTCGTCATCAGGCAAAACTAAATAGACATGTTGTGTGTCTCTCTCTGTCTGTGTTGTCTCTCTCTGCTTGTGTGTCTGTCTGTGTTTTGTCTCTCTCAAATTTAGTTCTACCTGATGACGATTGCTTGTGTTGCATTCGAAACGTCGTATTCTATTTAATTTATTTTCTTTCTACGTGACTTTACCGAAAGAACCAAAGAGAAAGGTTATTAAAAGCAATAAATGTACATAATGCATATGCAAAACAACGGTCATACACTCAGTAACTGCCAGAGGTTTACAAACTTGGACTTTGCATTACTTGGTCATGGACGTGAATTATTGCCTGAATTCTAAAGCATACTTCAATCACAACATTGCTCTACAACACCATTTTTTAAACAGGAAAATAAAAGACATAGGCATGGATTCTATAACGCTTTCCAATGTGCGTTTATCCTTGAAAGTAAATTAGTGATGATAACTTTACGAGATGATGTCACGGGAAATGATGATGACGATGACAATAATGTGACGTCATCACCTTGGTCATCACCTTGGCCACCACCACCAAGACAAATCTTTAAGCGGTGGTTTGATTGCCAATTTTTTGGCCAACTCGGAAACATTTTATTGGTTTTCTCTAGACAGTGAGTCAGTCTGCAATCAAAATACCAAGGCATTTTTTTTATTTGGCAAAAAAATTAATCAATATTTCACGAGCCACAAAGCACGTGAATATGAGACGGTGGGTCCTTAATGACTAACGTCACTAAGCAGTTTCCTGAAGAGCCGCATGCGGTTCCGGACCCGCAAGTTGCCGATCCCTGCACGAGACAAAGTCCCTAATACCAACACAAATTTCACCAAAAAATTTTTTCAAAGCTAATGCACCAACGCTTTCAACTTGAGATGGAAAACATTCAAATGGAGGCTCCAGCTGATGAGCCAAGGCAGACGACACGGCTTTCTTTCCGTAGACGCATGCTGACGAAAGAGCTCACCCGAAGCTTCGGTGGCAGCATTCCAAGTCCAGATTCTTTGGCATAAAACTTCCCAAGGGTTCATTTATTAAGCCAGCGGCCGACGCACTGTACCGGATTATCGAAAGCAATAAGAATATTCAACCAGTTAATTCCCAATCCACTGCTGGATGGGGGCCTCCCCACATCGTGTAGGGTCCGCGCGTGTTATTTTACCACAATTCGCCACGCCGATCAGTGTGGGTTGGTGAAGGCAGGGAGCACAGATGTACAAGCGCGGAAGAGCACATCTATCATGGATTTGCTGTACTGCCCTCTGCTGCCCACAACGTGCCAGTTGACTTTGAACGGGTGCAGGAACTCAACAGTACAGACAGATTGGGGAGGGAATAGCTCCAGACATTGGAGCAGAGTGAAATAATGACAACATTCATTCATCTATATATATAAAAGGGAAATTTGTGAATGTGTGTCTGTTCGAAATGTTTAGCATACTTCCCGACATGCAACAAACTTGAAATATGGCGGGTGGGTGGCTTCCAGACTGTACACAATGCAAAAATTATACAAATATACTTTTGTATTTGGGGGGGGGGGGGGGGGGCGCAATAATGGATATATTTTGCACAGCAAGTGAGCGGTGACGTCACATCTGTGATGTCACCCGCATGCGGAAGTGTGCCTGCTCACGTCACGCATTTTCCCATCCTTCACGTAGGCCGTGTATTAATCAAAGACAAGAATCCAAGTCTCCGGCGAAGCCATGGTAGTAAAGCTAGTGCTATTATATATCGAAATGATATCATATTCATGATATCGAAATGTCACTGTGCTCATTTACAGCTGTTTCCGCGAGTTAAAAAAGTAAAGCTCGAAATAACACGCGTGACCCCGACAATGGCATTCAGCTGCAATTTACATGGAGTCTGACATACAGTATCCACTTATATTTAAACAACTATTTGGGATCCCTCCAATTTCCAAGCGAAACCCGTACGGCTAACCGTGCCCCGTCTCCGCCGTGGTGGAGGGCGGGCGGGGTTGGACCATTCACCTGCACAAGGCAACATTTGCTCCAACACGCAGTGGGATAGATTTAAAGCTGAACTCAAGCAACTTTGTAAGCGACTGCATAGCAACCCAAGTCGGACTAGCCCCCCCCCCCAACTTGCCACCGCCCATTCTATGAATGGTGACGATTCTGGGTTAAGATTAAAATCAATAATCGATTCTCATTATTATTTACCATGTCATTTGTGTGTTTTTTTTTTCCTTGCAACGTCTGCATATTATTTTCATTAAGTGTAAATCATTTCTAACATGGTGTTATGTATCAAAAGTATCGACAACTATTTAATCAAAGATTTATTTGCGATGATAAATGCAAGTTTTGATCACTCGGCTATGATAATTATTAAATTGACATATAATTTCCACAAGTCACGAATAATACATTTTCACGTGCAGAATTCGACGTGTGTCTCTTGGGTACAAGAAAGAATTTGAAACGGACGAATCGATGCCTTGTTAGACAACTACTTCAAATAATAATAACACTGCACAATCTCGGTGTTGAGCCCACGCAGGGCGGGGGGGGCTGGAATTTTCCAGTCGACCCATTAAGTTGTCCTTCGAGAAAAGCAATGTGGTTGTTGTTTTGGAGGCAAGCGCTTATTCTGTCAACTACCTTGGGGTAAATATTTAACCAAATGGCATTTTATGGACACCTCTCAAGGTATCACAGGCCTCCCAAGTCTATTATTGTTCATCATCAGCATGAAATAACAGCACATCCAAAAAGATGCCACCCTTCATTGGTTTGGCATGCAGACGTTGGCACACTTGTAACCAAGGGCACATGCGTACATCTACAATGTCATTGCTTAGTCATAATTCACAGCCAAAGCATCCACCCGCGATAATACCCATTACTGCATTGTAACGCATTTGCATCTTGCAATCCCGCCATTAGTTTTGTAATCATTGCAACTTTTCAATCTATAATGATTGTAATGCACATTGTCAGTTACACAAAAATAATTTATTTGACTACACTGGTGTGGGCTTAGCAGACACTGCGATACAAAACAACAGTTAATATGGAAATTTATTAGGAACCAATTATTGTGCATTTAATACAAATAAAAGTTTGGAACCATTTGGTGGATGGGAATTTGGTCAAAGGTTGCATAGCACTTACTTGTGTTTTTGTTTGTCACTTCCCTAAGGGGCGCTTTGGCCACTACGAGTTCATATCTCTATCAAGTTGGATTGCATCAGAGCCTAATGTGGGATGAAACTGGATGTGATGTTAAAATGGAAATGTAAGAAACGGAATGCGAGATCCAACCCGGTCATGGTCTTGGCACAAAATCCACAAAGCACCCCAATGCCCTCTCTCTCTCCCCGCCGTGCGCCACAACCACAGCCAGGAGCTAAGGTCACTTTTAAATCGTTGGGTTCAGGAGGCTCACGGTCATCAAGGTCTCAGTTTAAAAAAAAAATTGGTGGTAAAACACAGGACAAATATTATTTACAAACCCTGTATTATATACATTGAGAAAGATTGTGAAGTCAGCAGGTTTGCCAGGGCTAACAACGTGAGGGAAGGCCGGCCACCTTGTGGCTTGGCAGTGGCACAGTTGGACATCTGCCAGCGAGCGTGTCAGTGAGAGGATGGAGGACACAACCAAATATATCCGTCTGCACTGCTACGTACCTTACACACACACCAATCACTTATACCAATAAACCACACAACGGAGGTGTGCAATTTTATTAAAATTACTCAAAGTTGTTGTGCGGCTTCTACAAAAAAAAGAATGGAACGTTTTAAAAAAGCGACGAACGACCTGGAGCAAGTAGTCTTTGTATTATCCGCAGCGATTACGATCACAAACACACTCACACGCCGAACAAATGTGCAGTCCTTTCGCAATCCATTACTGCAAGAGTTTTTTTAAAGTTTACTTCTAAATTTCGAGAGTCATTTTCGGGAGGATGCCACTTTTGGGATTATTGGCCAATTTCTTAAGAGGCAGCCTTGCTTGTGTTAAGTCTGAACATAGAGAATTCCATCAAGTATAACATTTAAGTCATGATTTCTACGTAGAAAACCCCTAATTAGCTGCATCACGGGCGATTTTATTTGAGAATGGCCTGTGACGAAACTGATATTATGAAGCACATCAAAGTGGATTTTAAACTGTAGGTCGGTTAATAATGGAATCGAAAGTTGTAAAAGTACTTTATGCAACCGGCCAATTGTCTAGAGTTTGCCAAATTACGTTTACATTTAATACACTTTTGTTGAACATTTCCATGGACTTTGCAAACAATGTTCACTTACCTAGCAAATCCAAGACACATTTACACCCATCAACAACTTAGCACGAATGCAATCGTTCGGATACCCCACACGCAGGTAGAATCTATGCACATTAACAACAAAACCCATGACGACAAACACGAAAACGACGAAAAAAATTGAGACCACAATTCTGGCCCAAATTACACGATTCAAAGGCCCCAATTTACATCGCTCTCACTGCCCACCTCCAATGCCCTCCGACACAATCCCGTCAACGTCAGGCTCACTGTAATTGACAGCTTGTTGCCAACGACTATTGCTGTTGCCTCAAACAATAATATCACAACTCACTTACCGCCGAGCAGAAGAAATCTCAAAGTTCGTGGCCGCACGTTCAGAGCTCGCATCCCCGCCATGCCTTCCTTGTTGCAGGCGCCTCCTCAGTGTGCACAAAGGTCGCGCCGCCAGCTCTCAGAAACGCAAACGCCCTTGGGGCAAAGCTGACAGCGCCTCGCCTATTTATAGAGCCTGGCCACCTCGACGCGGCTGACGCCCTCAGGGCGTTGTGTGAATGAAAAACCTCTGCCAAGGTTGACTGCGCGTTGGACTGCGATGACGTCACGGATGAGTGTCAGTTTTTGACGGTGGGCGGGGGGTTCGGTGACTAGGGGGCGGGGCTTGATAACTGTAGGCGGGGCTAGGTGACTATGGGCGGGGCTTGCTAACTAGGGGGCGGGGCTAGGTGACTATGGGGGCTTGGTGACTATGGGGCGGGGCTATGTGACTATGGGCGGGGCTTGATGACTAGGGGCGGGGCTAGGTGACTGTGGGCGGGGCTTGTGATGAGGGGGCGGGGCTTGGTGACCAGGGGGCGGGGCTTGGTGACTTGGGGCGGGGCTTGTGATGAGGGGGCGGGGCTTGGTGACCAGGGGGCGGGGCTTTGAGATACGGGTCAAAAGTCAAAACCCAACCAACTCATCATGGGACCATCATGGACCTCATCATCATGGGACCTCCTTTGCCAGTACCAAAATATGAGAAGAGGTTTTCCCCTTTTGGCGTCCTCTGGTCTAACACCGTTTTGAGACGAGGCTCAAAAGAAAGCTGCCTCTGGTGTGGGCCAGTTTCAAAGACAATGCATTTATTACCAGAGTATATTTTTTTGTTTGCATTCTGACCACAAGGATTGTGGTTAATGCAGACATGATTCCTCGTAAAAAGGTTTCAGTTTGGTGTTTTAACATCTCAACCAACTCGTGAGCAAAGAATCTACGACGTTTCAGGCAATGATCCTTCTTCATAGTGCATAGAGAGGATAATACTGGTAGTGACCTCCTGGTTACACCAGCCCACAGGGGATTATTATGTCCGTCCGTCCGTCGTGCATCCAAAAATGGGAGGGGTGGGGCTGGGTGGAGAGGGAGGGGCTGGGTGGGGAGGGGAGGGTGGGGAGGGAGGCTGGGGCTGGGTGGGGAGGGGCTGGGTGGGGAGGGTGGAGAGGGGCTGGTTGGGGAGGGTGGGGAGGGGCTGGGTGGGAAGGGTGGAGAGGGGCTGGTTGGGGAGGGTGGGGAGGGGCTGGGTGGGGAGGGGCTGGTCACCGCGTGGTGCCCTTATAAAACTCAACGTTTAACCTACTCACGCCGGCTTGTGCCCGCCCTCACAGTCGGGCATATTTGCGGAATACACCACGCCGCCGTTGACCCTGGCCATTGACCGAGCAACCCAACGTTCCTACCTGCTCCCTCCGCAGGACAATGTGTTAATAGGTGGATACTGCAGTTTACACCCTGGCGCCTGATAATAATTACATTTTAAACATTCCTCAGTTTATTTAGTGACACATTGTTAACGTTTCCAGGCTTTGTCTGTTGTTCAGTTATCTTCTCATAGTGTCACCAATCATAGGCATACTTTAAAAATAAAACGGTTCATAGGGGAGATATTTTTCCAACTAAAATTTTATCAGGCCCCATGATGCAAAGCACAGTTTCATCCTGCAATGGATATATCGTGGCTAATTATAACGACGAATGCGCAAATGAAATACTCCAAGAACATTGTTGTATTGCTAACGTACAACGTGCATCGCAGTGTCAAGCAGTGGGAAGCAGCAGTAGCAGCAGCTGGTGCCGTTACCCCAAGCACGAGGACTTTCAAACACCTTCAACTGCATCGTCTTGAAACGCACTCAATGCACCGCGGCCGGAGGCTCACAAATGAAAATGACAATCGTGTCCCCCACCTCTTTGACAGGTTGCAGCAACGATTTGCGACCCGTAACCGATGTGAGCGCCAGGCTGCAGATTTGTATACGAAAACCCGAAAAACCGATTCTCAAAGGTAAAATCATTGTATTTAAAACGTAAATATGCTCATAATCAACGTTTTTGGGTTTAGATCGCGTTATTTATAAATGTGTCGTAACCCTCCACCACCCGACACGGCCAATCAGTAAAAAAAAGTGTCACGTTGACAAAAGACAAATAGTTCACTGCTTTAGCCCATCTTTTGTCAACGTGACACTTTTTTACTGATTGGCCGTGTCGGGTGGTGGAGGGTTACGACACATTTATAAATAACGCGATCTAAACCCAAAAAGTTGATTATGAATAATTTTGGTCGCGAAAGCCTACGTGTTAAACGTAAATATGGTTGAAAGCTTTCGTGACTGCAGGAGTTCATATTCTTTGGGTCTTTCGGTAAAGTCACGTATAACAAAACATTTAAATAAAAAACTACCACGTTTAGATTGCAACCCAAGCAATCGTCATCTCTTTTTTCCTCCTGATGACGATTGCTTGTATTGAGATTGAAACGTCGTGATTTTTTGTTAATTTTTTGTTCTACGTCACTTTAACGAAAGACCCAAATAATACGTATACATGGGTTTCTTCTCGATTGTTATACAGTGGTATTGATCACACTTATCCTTGAATTTATGATGCTCTCATGTATATTATTGCTGATTATCCTCGCTTCTTGCGTGTGTTCAGGAGCCAGATGTCAATGTCTTGGACACTTCACGTGGCCTCAAAGTGCACGTGGCCTGGCACAGGCGCGGTGGTGACGTCACCGTCACTTCGTGACGAAGGGCGGCCGTGTTGGTACTGAATGCCGAGGCGGCTTCAGGAGAGTTATCCGACAGCGTGACGAAATGTCTCGGAGCGCCCATCTCTCTTAGCCGAGGGGAACCCCCGATGGCAGCTTGCCCTGTGCGGCACGAGGCGGCTTCAGCACCGGCCTGCAAGAGGGCATTACGCCTGCCGGTAGGGGGCGATAATCCCTGCGTGGGATCCCAATTGAGTAAAGAACTCAGTCGCCAGAGATGGCGGTGACTTGGTGGAGGCTTTTATCCAGCAGGGGCTGATGATGATGATGATTATCATGATCATCATGATGATGATCATCATGATGGTCACGATGATGACCATCATCATTATGATCATGATCATTAGCACAGTGTGGATGAGACGAAACAGTAAGTCTTGTAGACCGAGTCCTCAGCATGCGTGTAAGAAATAAGAATCACGGTCGTAGCGATATAAAGTGAAAAATTGTTTAAAAACCGCCAGCCAACAGCCTAAATGGTGGACGCTTGCCAGTGTGAGTCTGAGTCCAACTGCATAGAAGTTTAATCAGTAACACACCACCACAGGCACACCTTGACGCAGCACTCACCGTAACGGCAGACACCAGCACGACATTTACATCATCTGGCTCCACTGAAGGAGAAATCAAATTAACTTCTGAAGAACAGGACGACACGGTAGAGGGTTCATAGGTCAGGGTACACGTTGGTGCCACCGCAGGTGAAGGCACGAGTGGAGCCAGTGGTGTAAGTGTGCAGGCGGTGCAACTGCACATCGGGGCTCACTAGCCACAGTAGGGCAGGAGCCGGACTACGGAAAGGTGGGAAATTGGACAGGGAACCCCCCCCCCCCCCCCACATCACGATCCTTGCACCCAGTGGCCATGTCAACCGCGTGGCACGACTGCTCAACGTGGTCAAAGCGCATTCAGTGTTCGATACTTTACCGTGAAAGCCATCTCCACCACCGTGTAACATGCCCCGTGTCTCATCATCATCACCACCACCACCACGTCCTCCTCCTTTAGTGCAAGTGTTACAAATGTACAATAACCACACGTCAGCGCCGCTCCTTCGTATGAGGGCGTGATCGGAAAGTCGGTGGCGTGACGTGATGAAAGTGTCAATCGTGTTCATCTCGTGCTGTCTGTCGAAGGACCATGCCGAACTGCCTTGCGATAGGCCCCAATTTGACATCGTAGTGCACTGAAATAGTGATCGTGCAGCAACAAAACGCTCGCAACGTGTTCACTTCTCATAAGCCTTTCAATGTTCCCATGAATCTGGTAAAAATTCGTGGTACAAAGTCCCGCCGTGATTCGTTTCACTACTCGGACCACTCACTCACAGCACACGTCACTTAATTGTCACGAGAGAGAGAAATCACGATTGCAGAAAGTGATTCTTCATCCAAGGCAGTGGTTCTTCGTCTTAAGCTGGGGTGCACCCCCCTGCACCCCCTGGGGGTGCGAGATGCCTGTTCTGGAGGGTGCGAGACGTGGCCGGATTTTTTTCGAAGGTAAATCATCGAAAACACAAATCGAGCACGGGCATGTAAGTACAACTTACTTTGTCTTATCAAACCCCTGTGTATTTATTAACATGATACAATGTTTTTTTTAACGATTCAGAACCAAAGGGGTGCAAGGCTGCAGTAAAGGTTAAAAACCACTGGTTTAAGGAAACTTATGCAAGGCACTGGGACCCAGATCTTGCGAGTCTGGATTGTATCCAGATGTATCTGGGATTCGTACGTTTTCTGCTGTTTCAGCAACACAAGTCGATTTCACACACACACATAACTGCATACCAAATGATAGTCAATATACCACTATCAAACTCCATAATCACTCACCTCTCAACTGCCAGTTCCCTTATTTGTATGTACGTTGAACTTCTTTCGCACCGTACGTAGCCCAACCGTTTTCACCGTTCTCATCTCCTATCGCATTGGCGATAACAACTCTTCCCCGGGCTCTCGCCTGGTTAAATAACATCAATAATTTACATAACCACATTCTCTAGATTATAAGAGATGCCGGAAATTAAGACTCACAACAAACTTTGGTATCGTTTTGAAAAGGAGGAGAAAAAACCCCCCCAATCAATCTCGCAAAAACACGGACAATGCGAGAGAGTGGGAAACAGGGGTGTCACACATCAAGTGGTGAGGTGTGGAGCGGATGCTGCCAAAAGCAAGTAAAGCTTGTGTCTTGGAAAATACGGCGGTGGTGGAAGGGGCTGTGTGGTGGCAATGACGCTGTTGACTGTAATTGATCAAGTGTATTCTAATCTGGTCACTCGTGTGAAAGGTTGAAGCGGCTGTCCTGGCAATCGAGGCCACGTGGTGGACTTTCAGACGCACCCCCAGCGTTGGTTTTAAAAATACAGGAAAAAAATTGTACCGGAAATTGATGCCTTTTGCATAGTTTATGCACTTCAACATTTAAGCTAGAGTATTAACAAATTGCTATGTATGAAATAATAAGCTGATACTATGATGATGATGTCAATTATAAGCGCATTTTTTCATGATAATTCTCACACACGATGTAACCAGCACGGGGGAGTTGAAAACCATGCTGAGGATAGCGGTGACGTCGAATGTTGCTGCAGAAATGTAGCGCAGTGACTTATGGCTTTGCCCAACTTCTTAAGTAGTTTAAATTCCGTCGAAAACCAAAACAACAACAACATCTAAGTAACATTTTATCAATGTGTTGGCTTACGTTGTCATTGAGCCAAGTGTGGTGGTGTATGCCAGTAATCCATCACTTTGGAGGCCAGGGTTGGTGGACCACTACTGCTTTGTGAATCTCTCAATCCTGCTGAGCTGCAACGTGGCCAGAAGATGGCAATACAGCAAGTGTGTTTCACCCAATTACTATATCAGCATTTGAACCCAGGCTGAAATTTAGTGCACACTTTTTTGTATCGATAACAGATTGATTGTTTTCTTTGGATTGGGCCACATAAATGATCTGGCAACATTTCTGTCGTAAGACCCTCCACCACCCGACGCAAGTTTTTATTTATGTATATTTTGTATTAACTCCTTGAGCTGCTTGGGGGCGCTCAGCTTTCGCTTGCTTTTGCTTTAACCTAGCGACGCCACCGGTCTCTTCCTCAGGACATTTCTCAATTCCCCGTGTGCCCCCCCCCCTCTGCCCCCCCAGGTGTTTCCTCTCGCCACAATCGCTCAGCTGAACGATTGCTCGAGTGCGTCCGACTGTCCGCCGGACGCCCCGAACGAACCCTGCAGCTCGCCCTGGTCCCCGAGGGCGGCGTCCGTGGGGACGGTTTCTGCGGCGGCGGCGTCGTCGGCATCGGCCTCGTTGGCGACGGAAGGACCCCCACCCCAGTCGGCGAAGGGGCTGGCGGGCGGTCGCACGGGGCTGAGGTGCTTGCGCAGAAAGGTCCCCCAGAAGTCGCCCTTCTCGGCCTTCTCCGAGTGATCGTCCGCGATCCTGGGGGGTTCAGGGGCGAGGGAGATCATACGAACCATCGTAGTCTCCGGGTCATGAAGAAGCGCGTTGCTTTCTTCTTGGCTTTTACAACTCATTTGATTTTAAAGCTCGGCTTGAGGCTCGTCGACGAGCTTCCTTTTACTCAACGTTGGACTAATTCAGAAAATGGCTTCTAGTTTTTTTTGTGCTATTTTACAATGTCTACGTTATTGAGTTTAAGTTTAATGGGTTATTGTCGTGCTGATACTCTATTTTGGCTTGTACCACGCTTTGAGATCGCTGATGAGAGGCGAGATATCGACTCCGGGAATACATTTGGGGTGCGTCTGACTTTCGAAAGCGGTAATCTCTTATCCGTACAACTTGTATTCCATCTTTTAATTTGGCCTTCTCCCAGTCATAATCAATCCACTACTGGATGATGAAAATCATCAAGCGTGACGGTGATTACGACTGCTGATCACGTAATAACGTTACAAAACACCGCAGTGCACTGACGATGGTAATAAGTAATCATTGTCTACGTGTGTACAGAAGAAGAAATATAATAATACATCCACTAATTGAACCTTATAGCGGGACCCTGGGGTCACGAATAAACTAAAGTCAAAATGGTAATTTATTTTTTTATTTTTGGCGACTCCGTCCCACCGCGCACATGAACGCTGCGACCCACGTGGCACGGATCGTTCTGTTGCCATGTCGTGTTGTCCAAGCGCAGCGGCGAGGACGAATGCGCAGAAGAAACAAAACTTTAAAACTTTGATTAGCGCATCGTGTAGAGCTCATCGCGAGGGATAGATCGCCGTGTCGTTCGCCTTCAACAGAAATAGAATTACGTCGCAACGCAGTTGATGCGAGAGCCGGAGACTTATGGGACCCCGGGGTCCCGCCATAAGGTTCAAGTTATTGGCTGACCTATGGGAGGGGAGGGGAATTGCAGACCCCTCGTTTAATAACGAATAGCGTTTTAAAAGGTTTGATGCTTTTGCCGATTCGTAAGAAAATGGATAAATGAAATCCACAGACTAAGGCTCAAATAAAACGTTATAGACTGTCATCGCCTCGACTGCAATCAACCACTGACCAATGTAACACCGAAGCCGGGTGAGTGTCAGGTTGTGTGGATACAACTGCGGAGCACAGCTCCAGAGGACAACACAAGAGGATGGGAGAGATCATTCCAAGGTTCAGCAGTGCGAGAGAAGCAGCAGGGAGAGAAATGGTGTGACCTGCAGTGTGGCGAGCGAGAGGGTGAGTGGTTAAGTGTAGTTGTGACCTGCAGTGTGGCGACTGGGTGAGTGGGTGGATGACCTGAAGTTATGGTGTTTGAACACAGCGCGGATGAGACGAAACAGTCAAACAAAACTATTTTTATCTTCTTGGTTCTTTCGGTAAAGTCTTTCCGACAGACTTGCTCTTCACCTGAGGACGGCTGCTTGCGTTGTTATTTTATTATTTTTATTATTTTATTATTTCCCTTCTACGTGACTTTACCGAAAGAACAAAGAAGATGAATCCCTGCAGTCACGAAAACTTTAAATCGAAAACTATTTTTATATTTACCGGGTAAGACCCTCTGAGCTACGTAGCTCTTTTTCAGCAGTAACCTGACCACAAATGAAAGCTCAACGAAGTGACTTATCACGTGCACAGTCATAGCAGCCAAACACTCTAAACGCGTGATTCTAAACGTGAAGAAAAAAGCCGGGAGAACGTGGAGAAAAATCCACGTGACCACTGGGAGAGAGACACTCAACCTCCAAATATACAGCAGCAGCAGCAGGCGTCAGGGTCGGGGTCGAACCCACGACCTCCTGCACACCATGCGAGGTAGTTAACATCTCATAGCCACTGCGGCGCTCCAGGGAAGCACGGTCGTAGCGACAGAAGCGTGACAAGGAGGCGGGCGACATGGCCACCGGTGAGTGAGTGAGTGAGAGCGAGCGGCAGGAACGCACGCGGTGGCCTGTGGGCCCTCGTTGTTCGTGAGTCGCTCGTGGTCGCCCAGGCGGTGAGAAAACAGCGTCGCCTTCAGGGCCTTGAGTCCGGACGCTGGTGGCTGCTGAGAACACGGGAAACGAAGAACAGAGGCGCAGGACGTGGGGGAGGGGAGTGTGCAGACGCGAGCGCACGGTGGAGCCGGGGGGGGGGGGTGCGTACGTCACAATTGGGAATGCACCACGAGGGTGAGCAGAGTTCGAGTGGTGGCTGAGTGGCAGGGTGCAAGCAGTACGAATACAATGAGACTGAGTCAGTCGAGGACTTGACCACAGGACACGTGGTGGAACAAGAGGCAACGCAGTACAGCGGTGAACGGGGTACAGTGGTGTACAGGGTATGATGGTAAACTTAGTACAATGGTTAATTAAATACAATGGTGTACAGGGTATGATGGTGAACTTCTTACAATGGTGAACTAAGAACAATGGTGTACTGGATATAATGATAAACGGGATACAATGATGTACGCGGTACAATGGTGTACTGGGTATAACATATTACAGCATTGTACAGAGTTAAGTTTGAGACGTAATACAAATGTAAATAGAGTATATAATCGTGTTAACGCAGTACAATAAGACAACACTGGGGTGAACACAATAGGAGAGAGACACGCTCCGTTATAATTATTGTTTATGATCCAACACCATTCACACCGCGCCATCCCAGAGTGCTTTGCATGCGATAAGAGACTTCCAACTCTTCTCAAACATGTTAGAGGGCACCTCCAGTGGCAGCTGCCCCTGTGCAGCACAAAGTGAACCCAGCAGGGGGATACGATTGCTGATCCCGAGTGAGTTGGTATGATCCCGAGTGAGTTGGTGTGATCTTGAGTGAGTTGGTGTGATCTCGATTGAGTTGGTGTGATCCCGAGTGAGTTGGTGTGATTTAAAGTGAGTTGGTGTGATCCCACGTGAGTTGGTGTGATCCTGAGTGAGTTGGTGTGATCTCGATTGAGTTGGTGTGATCCCGAGTGAGTTGGTGTGATTTAAAGTGAGTTGGTGTGATCCCACGTGAGTTGGTGTGATCCTGAGTGAGTTGGTGTGATCCTGAGTGAGTTGGTGTGTTGCCGAGGAGTGAGTTGGTGTGATCCCGAGTGAGTTGGTGTGAGCCCGAGTGAGTTGGTCATTTTTAGATTTTCACAAAAACGTGGACCACGACACTGACGCACAACGGCCCACTCATTTTCGAATGACGTCAGCGTCCACTGCGAGGCAGACGACACTCTCACTCTCATGGCCAACAACTCATCGCAGTATTAACCAGGGCAGCCTTGCAGACTCGAACCACCACCTCCGCCACCGCCACTCACGTCTCTGTGCTCGCCCGCCCTGCCCGCAGACTCCGCTAGTGCCCCCTCGCTGGGCTGCCCCCCCGCGGCCGCGACCTCTGTGCCGCCGTGGTCACCGCAGAGGCCCGCGCCGCCGGCGTTCAGCTGCGGCCCCCAGCCCGGGAAGGGGCTGGCGGCCTGGGTGGAGCGCGTGACGCTGCTCTGCCGCTTGAGCAGCGCGCCCCAGAAGTCGGGCTTCTCGCTGGGTCTCTCCTCCTCCTCTTCCTCCTTCACCGGCGGCCGCTCCTCTTCCCTCTCGTCGACGCTGTTCGCACCCCCAAGCGCAGACGCAACGAGCGCACGCGACGGTCACACGCTGCGGTGTCCGTCCGCGCACGATCAAGCCGTGAGACTGCGCCGCAGGAACGGTCGCGGTGGGGCAAGAGCATCGATCGCCATCTCGTTCGTTCGTTCACACCTCGTGTGGCGAAAGGCGCCCGATTGAAAACGCGCAGTGGCCGCGCGTTCAACGTCGCCGTTCCGCGTTGCGTGGAATGCTCTGGCGGACAAACTCAACAAGCTCGGCCACTTCAGGCGAGACCTCAAGACAATTTTCGTTTTATTTTACCAGGTAAGGCCCACTGAGCTGTAGAGCTCTTTTTCAGAAGCGACCTGGCCACAAATGATAGCTCAACGAAGTGATTTATCACGTGAAAATGTATTGCAGCCAAATACTCTAAACGCGTGTTGATTCTAAATGTGGATGGAAAACCGGAGAACCCGGTGAAAAATCCACAGGAAGAACATGCAAACACCAAATATACAGCAAGCGCCAAGACGCAATCCATGTCCATGACGAGACAAGAAGACACTGCTGCTGCTGTTGTACATGAGAGATGCTGTTCGCGTGATGTTGGGCTTCTTAAATTACTACTTAGATTACATCAAACATCATCACGTGTGATGCTGCCATGGTCACATGCAACCACTACATGATTACTAAGCTACCACATTCCGGGAGGCTCAACCAAGACGCATGCTGAGCCGGCATTTCCCGTCGCCATCACCAACGCCCACTTGTACATAGCCACGCCTACTCAGCCACTAGCACCGCCCACACGGAGTGGCCTCCCATTGGGCTCTGACTGGATTCGGGCCCCGCCCACGACCCAGGTAGCCCCTTCCACTGTTCAGGTAACTATATATACGTCTATATTTAGGCATGGTGGTCACCCCGTTCAAAACACTACCCAGGCTCGACCCTGCTTAGCTTCCGAGATCTGAGTTGCCATAGCATTGCGTGGAGTGGTGGAGAGGGGGGTGGGGGCACAGACGATCGCCTGACCGCGTGGATTCTGGCTCCTCGTTCTCCGTCAGCCGTTCGTGGTCTCCGTATTTGGGCGAGAAGAGCGAGGTGACGTCCTTCCATCCACGCACGCTCACCCCGTGCACCTGCGCCGGCACAATGGGAAGAGCGCCGCTCCATTCAATGTTAAAGGCTCCCATAGACTTCAATGTTAAAGACACCTATAGACTTCAATGTTAAAGGCACCCATAGACTTCAATGTTAAAGGCTCCCGTAGACTTCAATGTTAAATGCTCCCGTAGACTTCAATGTTAAAGGCTCCCGTAGACTTCAATGTTAAATAGTCCAGAGGTGGGACAAAGTCATTGTTATGCAAGTCCAAGTCGAGTCTCAAGTCATCAAATTCATGACTCGAGTCTGACTCGAGTCCAAGTCACATGACTCGAGTCCACACCTCAGAGGTGGGACAAAGTCATTGTTATGCAAGTCCAAGTCGAGTCTCAAGTCATCAAATTCATGACTCGAGTCTGACTCGAGTCCAAGTCACATGACTCGAGTCCACACCTCTGTTAAATACACCCATAGACTTCAATGTTAAAGGCTCCCATAGACTTCAATGTTAAAGACACCCATAGACTTCAATGTTAAAGTATCCCATAGACTTCAATGTTAAAGACACCCATATACTTCAATGTTAAAGGCTCCCATAGACTTCAATGTTAAAGGCTCCCATAGACTTCAATGTTAAATACTCCAATAGACGTCAATGCCAAAGGCTCCGATAGACTTCACTGTTAAACGCACCCAAATTGAGTTACAAGACTTGAGGATACAATAACGACAACAACAAGAGAGTGAGTTAAATAAAAGCGTGTAAAAAGTGTTGACCTAATTTTCAACTCCCGGTACGTGCAAAGGGACGGAGCTCCCTGGGCAGTGGGTGACGCTAGACCACGAGTGGGTTGTGGCTATGAGAAAGTGGGCAGGGTGGGCGGACGGAGGGCGGGGCTACTGGCTCACGACGTGTCCCGGTTGAGCCATCCCAGAAATGTGGCAGCTTTACAAAAAAGGCCGTCACGAAGTGCACTCACGTGATTGGTTTTGGCAGCGGTGGAAATTCCGTATTGCTGTGGCAGGATACAGCCTTGTGAAGAGGGATAATGACTCTTCACCTCCCCGCAAACTGGTACTTATTTTATCGACCCGAAGTACGATGGCCTCAGTTGACCCTGAACAAGTATGTGAACTTGTGACCCTTCGATGCAGAGGTGAGCGCTCAAATAAGAACGCAACATAAATCGTCACGCGGCAACACAAAACACAACACGTGGGATTGCGATTGTGATGAGATGCAATGGGGAGGAGGTTTGTTCGCTTTACCTTCGAGGCGAGCTGAGTGACCGAGGTGGACACGTCCTCCAGGAGCTTCCCGTCGTTGACCTGTGTGGGGGAGAGTCGAGACACGGACGGCACAACTGTGGGTGTGCAAGGTGCGACGTCCTGCATCGTGAGGTGAAGGGAGGAAGAGGGAGGAAGAGGAGGAGGGGAAGGCGGTGATAGACAACGAAGTTTTTCGTCAATGAGCCCATGTTTCCAATTCACAAATTTGGTCGAATGAGCGTTGTTTATCTCACGTTAAGTAGTTGGGAAAATCTATTTTTTTACGGATAAAAATGTACGTAGATGTTCAGCCCCGTGTCAATCCATGGTGGTTATTTTGACCATACTTCACCACGCTGGTGAGTGCGGGTTGGTAAAAGCAGGGAGTTAAGACGTGGCGGGCATATGAGTAGATCACAACAATGGAATGTTCTTCTGCCCGTAACGTAGCCTGTTATTCCTGGTGGTCACCCATCCAATGACTCTCCAGGTGTATCCATCAAACTCAGGAGGCCGAATTCTGCCGTAGACCTCAGGACGAGCATTGCAAAAAAACAACGTCTGGGAAAGACCGGGCCAACGAAAAATCATGGCGGCCCTTTCCACCAGCAAGTGGCGTGAGCAAGAAGTCGCAGGGCTGTACCTTTTACAAATTCACGCCACCGTCAACGTCACCGTCGCCAGGGCGGCGGTGACGGTGGTGGCGGTGACGGTGGTGGAGTGGTGGCGGTGGTGGCATGGTGGCGGCGGTGAAGGTGGTGGCGGTGACGGTGATGATGGTGGCGGTGACGGTGGTGGTGTGGTGGCGGTGGTGGCTATGTCGATGGTGCCGGTGGCGTGGTGGTGGCGGCAGTGGTGGTGGCGTGGTGGCAGTGGCGGTGACGGTGATGATGGTGGCGGTGACGGTGGTGGCGTGGTGGCGGTGGTGGCTATGTTGATGGTGCCGGTGGCGGTGGTGGCGGCGGTGGTGGTGGCGTGGTGGCAGTGGCGGTGACGGTGGTGGCGGTGACGGTGATGATGGTGGCGGTGACGGTGGTGGCGTGGTGGCGGTGGTGGCTATGTTGATGGTGCCGGTGGCGGTGGTGGCGGCGGTGGTGGCAGTGGCGGTGACGGTGGTGGCGTGGCGGTGGTGGCGTGGTGGCGGTGACGGTGATGATGGTGGCGGTGACGGTGGTGGCGTGGTGGCGGTGGTGGCTAAGTTGATGGTGCCGGTGGCGGTGGTGGTGGCGTGGTGGCAGTGGCGGTGACGGTGGTGGCGTGGCGGTGGTGGCGTGGTGGCGGTGGCGGTGACGGTGGTGGCGGTGGTGGTGACGGTGGTGGTGGCGTGGTGGCGTGGTGACGGTGGTGGCGTGGTGACGGTGCGATCTCGTTTTGCGTCACTCGTCGCGAGCGGATGAGTTGCGGTGACACGGCTGACATTGGAACAATGCTCGCCGTGTCTGGTGACGCTCAATAATTTAGAGCCTTGGTCCGGTGCGCCGTGCGATTCAATCCCCGCCGCGCTTAATTGGCCCAGGGTACGGTTACAGCCGAGGCACCCGGCCCCCCCCCCCCACCTGCGCCCTCCCAACCCACCCCATCTGCCCCCCCCCCAACCCACCCCACCTTTTGGGGGAGGGGGGGGAACGTTTCCGCAGATTTGCGCCGTCCGTTGGCCGGCAACGCAGCCAGCGGTTGTTGCGCTTGGCGACAATTTGTCGGCGTCGCCGGCGTTCGGGTAAGAAAGTAAATGGTGATGTAACATTAACTATTTAATGTGATGCGCACGCGAGGCCAGGGATAACAACAATAAATAAATAGCGTTATCGAAGAGTGGCGGCCGCCGGCGAACATTCTGTGCCCCAGCCGGCGATTGGCATCTTGGCGACAGCCCTCGTTTCTGGCCGAAGCGAGTGGAAAAGGTTTTTCTCTCTCAAAGTCCAGTTCCACATGACTACCCATGCCTCTACATTCGCCGTCTGCGTGCCAATATTTTCCATTCGGAGTTAAATTGGTTTATTGGTGCGTTCCACGCAACCGGATTTTGACAGCCGAATTTTTTTTTGAAGATTACAATTCGGCTCAAAAATAAAACACTCCATTATGAGTCACGTCGTTTATTTATTAATGATGACTGCTTGGCGAGGCCTTCATCCAGCAGTGGATTGATCATGGCTGATGATGATGGCGATGACATCGGTGGCGAGTGATATTTGAAGCACCAGCCCGCAACTGGCTCGCTGATGAAGCGCACGGTACAATACATCAGCTCCCAACGCCAACACGGCATGGGCAGGCATTCATCCAGCAGTGGATTGAAAACGAGATGTAAATGATTACCATTCATTATTACATTCAAATTGCATAACAACTCCAGCTTTTACAAATTTGCGATGCCCAAACGGAAATATGCAGTCGAAACTTGGTCAAACATTTGTAAAGCCGAACACTTTATTCCTAATGAGTGGGCAGCGCCTCTCCGCGTTCAGTACAGACGGTAATCTGCCCGCTACGGCTTCATTCGGGATTTTAAAATCCATTCATCCCTTGTTAAGCAGCGCTTTATTTTACTCGTTTGGCCAAGGAGGCATTGAAGGAGCGTGGCTGTCAATTTCTATGCCAAAGCCTTCGTCTGTAACTGTGAACAATCAACTCTGCGATACAAAGCACAACTACAATTCGGAACGACGTTGGAATCCTGGTTCTCGTATCTGGGGTGGAGCACGCGGGTCCCAGCACGCTGCGCCGGAAATAACTCAGAGTGAAGCAGCAGCAGCAGAGAGGGCAACTGATGGTCAACCACTTACCGATTCACTCCCAGACACTCGCTCACTCACCGTCGGTAAGTCGTCTCCTCGCTACTGCCCTAGTTACTCTGGCCCGAACTCCGCTCATTGATAGCTTCACCCTGATCATGGGATACCTTTTTGCCATTATCAAAGTATTTAAAGTAAGAAGAGGTTTAACCCTCTCTGAAGAAGGCTGAGAGCCTTATCTGAAGAAGGCTGTCTGTCTCTGGTGTAGGCCAATCAGTTTCAAAGACAATGCTTTATTATCATTATTATGAGAGCATGTTTGTTTGCATGTTCACCACAAGTAGTGTTTGTGGTTAATGCAGACTTGACTCCCTGCAAAAGGTTTCTATTTTGTGTTTGAACATCATAACACCACCTGTTTTATTGCCGGAAAGGGTCAAACCTATTCCTATGTTCCACCCTTGCTGAGGATTCGGTCCACCAGATACGACTGTTTAGTCTCATCCGTACTGTGTTCAAACCTTCACCGATTAGCATGATTGGCTACGTACGGTGGCGGAAGAAGATCAACATACATACATCAGCACACTGCAGGTCACAACCACACTCACCCACTCGCTCACTCACTGACCCACTCACACACTCACCCAACCACGCGTTCACCCTTCCACTCAGCACACTGCAGGTAACAACAACACTCGCTCACTCACTGACCCACTCACACACTCACCCAATCACACGCTCACCCTCCCACTCGGCACACTGCAGGTCACAACAACACTCACCCACTCGCTCACTCACTGACCCACTCACACACTCACCCAACCACACGTTCACTTGCCTTCCCACTCAGCACGCTGCAACTCACCTCACCGCTTTTTCTGCTCCACTTCGCAATTCCCTCCTCCCGTCGCCATCGTTTCATTGTCCCCAAGTTCTTGGAATAGCCCCGCTCCATGAGAGGAACGTGTCAGCTCTTATCTCTTACACTTCTAGCAGTGCTGTTTGTTGCTGAAGAGGATGATGATGATGATGATGACGAACAACACAACACTAAACTATAAACTCGTTGTTATTTTACCAGGTAAGGCCCACGCTCTTTTGCAGAAGCGACCTGGCTATCACAAAGTAAAACTCAATTAAGTGGCTTACAACGGGGACATTTATCGCAGCCAAATACTCTAAACGCGTACTGATGTTTATTCTAAACGCGTGCTGATGTTGATTCTAAATGCAGAGGGAACAACCCGAGGACCCGGATTAAAAATCCACGCGACCACGGGGAGAGAGAGAGAGACGCAAACTCCAAATATACAGCAGGTGTCAGGGTCGCGATGGATCCCACGGCCTCCTGTATACCTGGCGAGGTAGTTAACATCTCCTAGCCACAGTGGCGCCCACTGATTGCCTGTTAAACAAACAGCGGCGCGTGCGAACGAGCGAGCGAGGGACGAGCGCACGCTGGCGATGTAAATGTACGCGACGTGATTATTATTTGCCCGGCTCACTCTACACGCCGTGTGACCGCAACAGACGATCCTTATGTAGTGAATCCGTGAATGGTTAACTCGCACGGCGCTCGCCACTGGCACGGCGCCCGATTAACACGACTCTCGACCACCAAAGCACGGGCTGTCTGAGCAACGACGAGGATCGTGATGATGACGACGATGGTGGAGAGTTGGTGGACAATGAACGTTGTGAGTGCCCTGTTAGGGGGGGGGGGGGGCGCACGTGGCCCGAAGGGTAATCGTATCCGGGCGGCCAGCAATGAACAGCGCTGTCACAGTAGTACGAAACAATTCCTAACGCGCGCATATTTTGAGAATCGGACGCGATGTTTGATCGAGAACTCAGAGGTGTGGAGCCAGAGCTCAAAGCCCCTCGTATGTTGGCCTCATCCAGGTGAGAGGCTTGACAGGCAAGAGCCTGAACAGGTGAGAGCCTGATTAGCTGAGGGCCTGGAGAAGTGAAGACCTGAACAGGTGACAGCCTGGACAGGTGATAAACTGAACAGGAAATAGCTTGAACAAGTGAAGGCATGAATAGATGAATGCCTGAACAGGTGAAAGCCTGGACAGGTCAGAGCTTGAACAGGTGAGCCTGATCAGGTGACTCTGAACAGGTGTGAGCCGTGAGGTGATGCTTCAAGGTGCGCTTTCAGCGTCACTTGGTAATGAGACGAAGAATCCGTTCGGAAATCTCCCAGAGCAGGGTGTTCGAGAACGGTCGACGGAAGTGGACACAGCAGAACTACGTCTGAGAAATCCCTCCGTGCGATATTCTGGTCCACACCACGGAGGTCAGAGCAATGCCACCTGCCTTGGCACGCAAGGTAATATTTGTCGCGTGACAAAGCTATACAGTATTTTTTTTTATATTCACGGCTGGAATTTGGCCAAACTAAGTGGAAAGGCGACGACGCACCGTCGGTGTGAAAACACTCCCGCGTTGATGCGAAATCGAAGCCAAGCAAGAACATCTGGAGCAACAGTTTAGGTCCGCAAGAAACTCAAGGGGGGGGGGGGGCGTAGATTCACGAAGACATTTATGACTTGCACAAAATATCAGCTTCAATTCGGGTTCACATCTCCTTTGCGACTGGGCGTTATCCGTAGCCAGGAATCGAACTCTGGTCGGCAGGGTTTACAGCGCGCTGCACAAACCACGGCGCCACCGCTCACTCACCCACGACCCAGCACCTCCGATATCCCCGCACCCCCAATTATCAGGGTTGGCTAAGTACGGTACGAAAGAAGTTCAACATACATGCATGCAACCCGACAAATACATACAAAATACGACGCCTAGTTAATGTGACAACGGAGACTGATTACCGTGCATGCAGAGATTAAATGAAGTTCTCTCAACTTGATGCGAGCAGCCGTAATAACCACAACAACAGCAGGGACACCACCACGGTGTTCCCGATGGGACTGACCGAGCGAGCCAAGCACACGCACCTTCTCGGGAGGAGGAGGAGGTTCGTTCTCTTCCATGCTGTCCTCATTCTCGGACAAGACCCTTGCGATCTTGCTTTTGTACGAGTTCCAGAATCCCTGGGTCATCGTATCGTCTGTCACCCTCTGACAGGTGCTAATTGCGGACGGAATTGCCAATTGCAGGGTGCGCTCGCTGGCTCGGGCAAAAACCAGGGGACGCGGGCAAGCCCCTTGTGGGGCTTTGCGACGTGTCGAATCCTGGCAGAGAATTGGCTCGCGAGGAGGGAGATGTCGCGCACTCCTCGTTCTTATTCTTATTATTCTTCTTCTCTCTACGCGAACAATTTCATAATTCCGCTGCTTGCGTCACATCTCTCTGGGGCTCGCAAGCGGGCCCGCTATTCTTTTCCTTCCTTTAATTTTTCACTTTGCTTTCCTGTAATTCAGCTCGCGGCCAGACCCCCCCTGCGCATTAATAATGACCACGCAGCCCTCAACAGTCTCGCTGGCTGCCGTGCTATGTTACCACTCACCGGTGGTGGTGGCGGTGGTGGTGGTTGAGGTGGGGGGGGAAGAAACCCTTCACGTTAAGAGCCCCCCCCCCCCGCCGCCTGCCACCGCCACCCGAGACACACACTCACACACAGGCATGAGCCGGCCGCTTCAAAATAAAAGTCAGCGAGGCATCGTTTTACTGTTGCCAGCGCCGCGAATGACTCACTCGGTAGCTACCGCCACTGCCACCACCATGACTTCGATTAAAATTGCATCCAATGCCCCCCCCTCCACCCTGACTTGCCCCCCCACCCCCCCCCCCCCCGTGGACTCGCCATCACTGGCCCCAGATGTGTAACTTCGTTGTGTCTTTGCGCGGCGACATCGGAGAGAAATGTAGCCATTTCAAATAAGTTATTTTAGATTTCTGCACCTTTTTAATAACCTTTCCTGAAAGCAAGACCTGCCTTCCAGTGGGTGGCTGCGATGCCGCGATAAAAGAGAGCATTGCTGAACGTGTGCCAGATCGCGGCTTTCGTAATGAAACCTGTCTCACTCAAATACAGGAATGTCCCACCCCTGCCAGATCGTTGCATTACTCACGTAACTCACATCATGTAAATGACTAAACATTACCCGGGCTCAGAAACGTCTCGTGTGTGTGTGCGCCCTTCATCAATTAGCTTTGCCAACGAATTATCATCATCTGCAGCAGCAGAAATGCTCTATCCACTTCTGGATGAAGGCCCTCTCAAGCCGTCACCATCTGTCGTGGCCTCCGCGATGTATAACGATCCATCTAGCAGCTGCACGAGATGGTTCCCAAGCTCAGGACTCCACGGCGAATGTCCGCTCGGGGCGACGTCCCTCCGTTGACCATCGGCTCATGAGTTCTCCACCACCGGACTTGTGTTACTCGCTGTTGCTGCGATGTCTTCGAACGTTCTCCGATGCGCGCGTCTCGCCTCCCGTCTCTCGGCGTAATTCCAAATGGTGCACCTCCCCCACGCTTCTTCGAACACGTAACACATTTTGCAACCTTCCCGTGCCTTTGTTGATATTCACATTTCCGATCCGTATATCGTAGAGGTAAAAAACAAACCCGATATATTACATACTTCCGAGGACAAAATGTCACGTTGGAAATCGTTGCAGAATCCATGCGTATGCGCGGTTTATTTTTTAATCTCTCCCTGTTCATCACCGACGTGGGGCAGATTTTTGCCCAAGTTGGGTTATTTGCAGCTATTTTCTCAAGACGTGAATCTGGCTCCAAGTATGGAAACATTTATCTAATTTACTGCGCTGTCCACCGAGAAAACATGCCGGAGTTTGTCTTTCGCCATCCCAAGGTCATAATCGTTGCAGCATATCAGCGCAATGAGAACGAGGCTTCTGTTGGCTTCAACAGGGTAAACATCCCTGCAAGGTGCTGGTCATGTTGCAGGACTAGTTTTATGCAACGCTATTAATTTGATATTTTCATCCCGATTGCAAAGTTGAATCATTGGTTGCCAGACAAACGCCAAGCTGATACGCAAGACTAAAAAAAACAATTCTAACATACAATGATATTGACTTATTTATCCAGCAAAGCCACGCTTTTTTTCAAGAGGGTCCTGCTACTACATTGCTTTTAAAAATATTTTTCAGCCAATTAACGATGAGTATTCATACGAGTGGGAGGAAACCAGAACACCCAGTAAAAACGCCCGTGTGCGAGGGGGCAACACCATATCCCGGCAATGATGGAAATAGATGGGGATTAGTCCACTTGCGGTGCTGCTTTTGTCCTGCCGAGCCAGGGAATGGGCACCTTGACGCTCACGAGAAGGGAGTTTCACGACATTCGTGCGGTGATCCACCAACACGTGCTGCTGCCTGCAGTGCTGGATTTCAGGCCACGTGCAAAGCTACCACCACTCCGACAAGACGTCGCTAACCAGTGAAGACTTACGGAGTGTTTTTTCTCGAACAGGTCTACAAAAAATCCTTTTTGGTTTATGGCAGTAGTTTATGGTGGACACCGAAAAACGATCAAATCGCCCGGATTGCACCCGACGTCATCAGATGTCGCAAGCTAAGCGGAGCCTGGCTAGCGTGTGGATGGATGGGTGACCACCGGCTACACCGGTTGGCTGGCATAACGCTGCCAGGATACGCAGTGGGCAGCAGAGAGAGGGCATTGCGACAAAATCGATCGTCACTGCGATTTTGCGCGCCCACGTCTATGCGGACTACCATTGCCCACCGGCACCGACCACCTTGGTGAAGTATGGTCAGTCGATAGCCATGGCCTGCATGGCATCGGAAGGCTCCCATGCTGCAGTGCATTGCCATAAGGGCTGCACTCGTGCAACGCATTTGTATACTCTAGGTCTTCACCGGAAACAAGAAAAGGATAAACCAATTGATGAAACTATATTTCTTTCACAAGCTATGCATTTTATGGTCTGTGCGAGAATAACGGTGAATGCAAATGACGTACAGTATATGCAAATGTGACACTAATTTTAACTTGTAAGGTCACGGGAGTGAAAAAGCGGTACGAATGTGACAAAATATGAGGAACGGGAGGCAACGGCAAAATAAAAACACCTTACTGAACTGAATCACATCCATGAGACGTGAATATTCAACACGTTGCTGGGTGTGTGGATTGGTCGGTGCCGACAGGTCTGATCCCGTCTGTCAAGTACTCGTGGAAACCAGCACTTTATCAGGGCACTCTGCTCAAACGCACAAGCAAAAACCACAAGGCACCAACCCCCACTTCTACAGCATTCACATTTTATTTTTAAAGGTTAGTGTTGATGAACATGTCCTTCGTACACTCAAGCATTAATGCATAATAACTTAACGGGGTAACGCAGTGTTAAAATCTAACTGTAACGTTACACTAACACAAGCGTACACAACTTAAATGTGCAGTTAAATGTCTTACAGCGTTTGCGTAGTGCTACGGCATTATAGTGTCAGCAAAAAAAAATCAAAACACATTACACACGAATGTGCCCTTACGAGCCCTTTTTCCACTGGCACATCCGAGCCAAGCCAGCACAGGGCCATCACAGCACGGCTAGTTTTCCACTGGATATTTTCTGAGCAAAGCCAGAACCAAACAGTGAAACTCTGGTCTCTAAATTTTTTTTAAATCTGGCCCGGAGCCAAGCAGGGTTCAATGGACGGGTTATTAATATTTTATGAGTGTGGTTGGCTACGTACAGGGTGCGGAAGAAGTTCAGCATACATGACATGTACATTTTTTTCGCGGTAAAAAAAAATACTAATGCATCATGTGTGACAGGAGTGGCACGACTCAGATTCTGCAGAGGAAAATCAACCTGGTGTTTCCTAAACTATGACGGGACAGGCTTAGCATGGCTCCAGCATGGCTTGGTTATGCAGTGGAAAAAGAGATAGTTTAGACATTCACAACTCCATCTCCACTGCTAGTTGAAAACCGTAATTTCTTTCTGTAATAAGAGCTTCCCAAATAACGGACCACACACACATCACCAACGCGGAATCCAGCTCTCACCTGCGATCGCGTTCACCTGTCGCACGCTATGAGGTAAGCTGGCTAAGTTAATGCGCAAACACAGGACAGAGCTGCTGACGTGCATTATGGTAATCTCAGGTCTAAGTTCAGGACCAAGTAGGGTCGCAACCTCTTAGCTACAATAAAACTGGGACACACTTATGGGGAGAATATCTCACAATACCAGAACAGAGAACTACATGTCAATGCGTTGTCTTGAGAGAGTGGTGACAAAAAACCAGCACAATTAATTCCCAGGAAGACTTTCAGATTTCCCAGGACAGCTACACAAACAAGAGAGGATGAACATAGAAAAACCAGGAGAGGTGACAACGCTAGCTCCACATCTTTGGCTACCTCCATCTCATGACCGTTCAGGCTGACTGGACAATGTGAATATGGCCCAGGCATCATCAAGTCCTGCAAAGAGGAAGCCTTCGAGCAGTACTGCATGTCCTTTGGATTAAAAGGCCCCTGCCATAGAAATATGGAATTTCTACTTCTGGCTCAGAGGCGCCAATTGAGATGAGCACCACCCAATGTTACTTGAGCAGGGACAAGGTTTTGATTTGTTTCAACCATACAAAAACAGAACAAAGAAACCACTGACAAACCTAAAGTAACAAAACATCATACATGGCCTTGATGTTGCAATTAGTGTAATGCCTCCTGTGCCGAGGTCACTCTTGCAGTACAAAGACAAAGGTCTCCCTATAAATTCACAGACTGCTGCGGCAATTGCTGTTAGCGAGCAATTATCAAGGCCGCCGCAATGTGCAATGGGGTGGGGGGTGGGCAAGCGCCACGCCTGGCCGTCTTTGTCTTCCCCAGTGCTGATGTTTATACATCGGTTCCGGTTCGAATATCACTCGTCACCGATACCAGCCGTGGCCGAGAATCCAAGTCCGGTCTACCGAGTTCCCTTCACTGCGTCTCTTGCAGGACACAAGCACACAAACAGGTGCACAGGCAAACCGACTCAAGGACACGTTCAGGGGAACGGGACCACGGAGTGTTTAGGAACCGCTCAAAGAAGCAACTGAAAAATAAAAAAACGGCTATCTCGTAGCTACGAGGTTTGCCGCGTTGTCTTTTTTCACGATAAGATATTTATTTTCATGATACGATGATTATCGCGATACCAGTTTTTCCACAGCTTTGTAACTGCATTTCACAATTGTATTGTTTTGTGTGTTGTGCTTTACTGTGCCACCAGTACCAATAGGTATTTACTTTGAACGTTCAACTGCAGTCCACTCAACCGTAATCCTACCATAGCCCTTCTCTTGTCATTGCATCGTTAGAATCTGCAACCCTTATAATGCACACGCTGTCGGTAACACGGCAAATAAATACCTGGAGTGCGAACGTGACATCGTATAACCGACATGCTGTCAGTTACTCCGAAAAAACGTGTTGCTATATATTTAGCAATAGCTATTTATTTAGACAACCAGTGACAGTACGTGG